TGTTAAGGTCCCCAAAAAGCTGTTCAAAGGGGGCACGGAATAACAAAAAATAATAATAATCAGAGCAAAAACAAGAGGCCTTCGCAGCGCTTTCGCTGCTCGGGCCTAAAAATTGTGAGGAGAGTGACTCACCTCAGACCATGACATTACTCCTCCCTCAGCAGCTACCCACCCCGTACTCCTGGAGCATCCCCCACAGGGTACCCCTGGGGACACGTTTATAAGCCTTCTCCAAATCCACAAAACACATGTGGATTGGTTGGGCAAACTCCCATGCCCCCTCCATCACCCTTGCAAGGGTATAGAGCTGGTCCACAGTTCCACGGCCAGGACAAAAACCACATTGCTCCTCCTTAATCTGAGATTCAACTATCGATCGGACCCTCCTCTCCAGTACCTTGGAGTAGACCTTTCCAGGGAGGCTGAGGAGTGTGATCCCCCTATAGTTGGAACACACCCTCAGGTCACCCTTCTTAAAGATGGGGACCACCACCCAAGTCTGCCACTCCCCAAGAACCGCCCCCGATGACCACGCAATGTTGCAGAGACGTGTCAACCATGACAGCCCTACAACATCCATAGCCTTGAGATACCCAGGACGAATCTCATCCGTCCCCGGGGCTCCGCCGCTGTGCAGTTGTTTGACTACCTCAGCAACTTCTGCCCCCGAGATTGGACAGTCCATCCCCAGATCTCCCGGCTCTGGTTCCTCCTCGGAATGTGTGTAGGTTGGATGGAGGAACTCCTCAAAGTATTCCTTCCACTGTCCAACTATAGCCCCAGTTGACGTTAGCAGCTCCCCATCCCCACTGTAAACAGTGTGAGCGAGTTGGTGCCTTCCTCTCCTGAGGCATCGGACAGTTTGCCAGAACCTCTTTGGAGCCAATCGATAGTCTTTCTCCATGGCCTCACCAAACTCCTCCCACTCCCGAGATTTTGCCTCGGCAACTGCCAGTGCTGCACCCCCCTTGGCTATCTGGTACCCGTCTGCTGCCTCCGGAGACCCATGGACCAGCCACGCCCTGTAGGCCTCCTTCTTCAGCCTGATGGCTCCCCAAACCTCTGGTGTCCACCAGCTGGTACGTGGGTTGCCACCACGACTGGCACCAGCCACCTTGCGACCACAGCTAGCAACAGCCGCCTCAACAATCGCAGAGTAGAACAAGACCCACTCGGAGTCAATGACCCCCACTGCTCTCGGGACGCGGTCAATGCTCTGCCGGAGATGGGAGTTGAAGACCGTCTTGAAAGGTTCTTCTGCCAGGCGTTCCCAGCAGACCCTCACTATGCATTTGGGTCTGCCAGGTCCACGCGGCATCTTCTCCTGCCATCTGATCCAACTCACCACCAGGTGGTGATCAGTTGACAGCTCCGCTCCTCTCTTTACTCGGGTGTCCAAAACATACGGCCACAGGTCAGATGATACGACTACGAAGTCTATCATCGACCTGCGACCTAGGCCGTCCTGGTACCAAGTGTACCGATGGGCATCCTTATGTTCGAACATGGTGTTCGTTATGGCCAAACTGCGGCTTGCACATAAGTTCAATAACGAAACACCACTCAAGTTCAGATCAGGCGGGCCGTTCCTCCTAGTCACACCCCTCCAGGTCATGCTGTCATTGCCCACGTGAGCATTGAAGTCCCCCAGCAGGACAATGGAGTCCCCTGATGGAGCACTATCTAGCACTCGTCCCAGGGACTCCAAAAAGGGTGGGTACTCTGAACTGATATTTGGCCCATAAGCACAAACAACAGTCAGGACCCGTTCCCCGACCCGAAGGCGCAGGGAAGCTACCCTCTCGTCCCCTGGGGTAAACCCCAACACACAGGCAGAGAGTCTTAGGGCTAACAACAAGCCAATCCCAGCCCTCCGCCTCTCACCCGGAGCAACTCCAGCAAAGGAGATTGTCCAACCCCTCTCTAGGACTTGGGTTCCAGAGGTGAGTCCGACTATCCAGTCGGTACCGCTCAACCTCAGCCACAAGCTCCTGCTCCTTCCCCGCCAGCGAGGTGACGTTCCATGTCCCAAAAACCAGTTTCCTTGTAGGGGGATCGGACCGCCAAAGCTCCCCCTTGGTCTGCCACCCGATCCACACTGCACCGGACCCTTCATGTTCCTCCTGTGGGTGGTGGGTCCACAGTTGGATGAGCCCATGTATCCGGTTCGGGCTGGGCCCGGCCGGGCCCCATTGGCGAAAGCCCGGCCACCAGGCGCTTGCTCACGGGCCCCAATCCCAGGCCTGGCTCCAGGGTGTGACCCCGGTAACCTTCCGGGTCAGGTACTCCAACTCTTTGAATTTACATCCATGAAAGATTCTCTGAACCGTTCTTTGTCTCACCCTTCACCTAAGACCAATTTGTCATGGGAGACCCTACCAGGGGCACAAAGTGTCCCAGACAACATAGCTCCTAGGATCATTAGGGCGCTCAAACTCCCCCACCACGATAAGGTGACGGTTCAAGGAGGAGATAATAATTAAGGATTCAATTAAATTATTTTAACTTTAATGTGCTTTAAATGTTTTGATTTGCTTTTATCTGATACAACAATCCCAGCACCTTGTCTGCTAGGATCTTCTTTGGGCTTTAGCATGGTGACCCTGTCTAATTACTGGGAAACCTGCTGTGGATCAACATTTTATTTTACCGTGAGAATGGAAAGAATGACTGAGAAAGTTCATTTAGACTATCAGAGCCCTGAAAAGGTTTAACCCACAAGTAAATGCCTTCAGTTTTTATGTAATGGTGTTTTCTCCACTGCACTCTTACCTTTGCACTCTTCTTCTTCTTCAATTAAGATGGTAGGCTGGATGCCTACAAGGCATATTGCGTCCTCAGCAACATTGGCACAGAGTCCAAAATTAATCACAGCCTCCCATACACACCAATATTCCGAAGAAACACCAAAACTGCCCCCTCCCTATGCTGATCCTATACCCAACAAGGTCCTCAGATTAAACACAGTCTCTACAATAGCCCCACACACCAAACAAGGCCCGCCTTTTAACTGCATACAGACAACAGTGTAGAAGGACACAGCTCACTGTTTCATGCTCCCCACAAGTGCAAGAGCTATCCAGCTGCCTACTAACCAAAAACAAACCTCCCCCAAGGCAACTATGGCCCAATCTCAGGCACGTCAAGACCACAGCGTCCCTTCTCCCACAGACAAGGGCTGGCCCACGGACGCCCACACGATGTTGCAGCAACATCTCACATGTCTAGTGCCAATCTCGGAGTGACACTCCGGCTGACCTAGTCTCACCCCCAGGTCCACTTCCAAATCTCGTAGCACCCCCTTCACAACAGCTTCCACCTCCTCATTCCCCACCACTCCCATATGAGCAGGAACCCACACAAAACACACCTCACACGCTGAACTACCAACTTGTGCAGCTACATCTGAAATGCCACCAACAAGTAAGGCCGAGACTGTGAATGCCGGCCCATCATTGTCTAAAGAGCTGCCGCAGAGTCAGAGCAAACGACATAGCTCAGCGGTAAACGTCCCTCAATCCACTGCAGGGCTTACCAGACCGCCACCATCTCAGCAGTGAACACAGAGCACAAGTTGCCAATTCGGCGACCACAATGATACCCCAAGCTAGGGACCGCCAACCCCACCACCCCCCTGCCACTCTCCAGGTCCTTGGAGACTTCAGAGTATAGCTGCAAAGACAAACCCCAAACCATCCCCACATAATCCATAAAAGCCCTGCACCACTGCTGCCCTGACCTCCAAAAAAGAACAATCCACCTCAGGAACCGGTAGGAGCCACGGACGGACCTCAATCCAGACCAGGTGGGAACACACAGGCCACTTGAGGAATCCCAGCTCCACCACCCGCCGCCCTCAGGCAATCCGGAAAACCATCTCTAAACCCCCGGTCACCGCCCTCAAACTCCAAACAACAGCTCAACAGGGCCGTCACAGGGGCAGACTCTCGTGCGCAGTCACGTGCGCAGTCTCTGCATAAAGTCCTGCCTCCTACTTTATTTGACAGCAACTGCTTTCTCCTCACAAATAATTTATGTAAGATTTAAACCCAAAACTTTGAGCAACGCGGGACAATGTTTCAATTTGCAGATCACATGGTCTCCCTTAACTACAGCCACTCAGGAAGGTGGCACTCAGAGGCTCAGAGTCTGACTCTGGGAAAGTTGAGCAGGATCAAGCCTCTTTTAAAGTGGGAGAGGTTTGCTGCATTTTTGTTGTTAAAATATAATGTTTCAACCAAGCACTGTGTGTTTTTCATATTTTACAAGTGTCTTTAAAAATACACATAGTAAAAATTAATTATTAAAATTTTCAAATTTTAGGGGTGCCTGAATTTAATTTCGGAGTGCTTCAACACCTCCCAAAATGGGCTAAAAACACCCATGGTATGCACCAAACCAGGTCTTCTCTCATGGGTGTCCTGGAAAGGATCCCATCTGGGGTTTCTTTGTCCTGATATGGTACATCCGTCACAGGTGTAGGTGGTGGTGAGTTGAATTTAGGAATGAACAGACCTGGTAAACAGGATGAAAAAGTGAACTGGGAAAAACCATCAGTTTTCCTTGCATTGTGGGTGAATTTCTGGCCTTTAAATTCAAATGGAGAATGATTCTCAGATCTTTGACCAGGGCGTCGGTGGCATCTTTTGGTTGCAGCCACTGGAGCACCTGTTGCTAACACTGGTGTGAGGGAAGCTGTTGAACTCTTCCCTCCTCACCTATTTAGGCTGGGTTTGTGTGACCCTCTGGTGAATCTTCCTTACTACATTCTCTTTATGCAGCTGTTTCTGTTTCTCTTATCAGGTGACAGAATGGAGCATCTCCTGAAAGAGTGTTAGATCTGACTATATCACAATGGACCACTATTGTCAGGTTTCAGTAGCCCCACTCAGTGCAACTGAAAACAATTTGGTGCAGTTAGATGGTCTTTCCATTAGTAATGGGTGTGTGTTTACTGTCAGCTAACTCAGAACTCATGCATCCGTTTTTCCTGTGACCAGGGAAACTGTCCCTGGACAATGTGACAGAAAGAAAAGACAAGATGCGACTAGGAATGACACTCAACTCCAACCCAAAAGACAACAGTTTTGTGGTGAGTTACATAAAAATAAAATAACTGAAGCATCACTTTAGAAAACGGATCCCTCTGAGCCCCTTTGAAATACTTTAACCTTTACTTTCTTACATTTTATTTAGTTTTCAAAATATATAATAATCTGTGAGCAGAGGTCATATAAAGTCACTGGTTGACAAACATTTGGCAGTTAAATCTTGATGAAGAAGATCAACGTCCCAAACGAAGGTTAGATATTGGACCAAATCTCTGTGATGGTAGAGTTAGGAATGCTTACTAGGAGTAAGTGGTTTATAGTTAAGAATGAGGAGTAGAACTCAGCTGACATTTATAGTTATGCTTTATGTGTTTGGCAACTTACAAATGAGAACGTACCTATGGAGTAGATGTTAACAATAAACAATTGGGAGAGAAGAACTTCTGTCAGGTTCTCTCAGGGTACAAAGTGTAGTAGAGTAGTAGAAGGGAGGTGCAGGATAGGTGCTGTAGGGTAGGATGTATGGAAGACCAGATACATTCTCCAGATTGTCTGCTGAGGCTTCACAGATCATTTAGAAGGACTTTACTGTAGTGAAGGCTGGAGATGACCTTGGATTGCACCAGGGACAATGTCTGGTGTTTTCTGTACAGTACGGCTTGACCTTTTGGTCAATCGTTGAATTGTGTCAGGTTATTAAAGCTCCACAGATAAAAGTGCTTTTGATATAATAGTTATAGTCAAACATTAATGGGGTTTAACATTTCACAGTTGTCAGTACTGATGAATTTCTCCTTCAAATGTGAGTAGTGGTTAAATCAGAAACAGTTTAGTGGATGCAAACACAGCCTGGTTGTGTTGTTGTTTCTGATAGTTTATATCAGTGGTCCTCAATAGGTGGCCCCCGAACACCTCGGACCATTATAATTGAGGACCGCTGATCTATATTTACTCATGTTTGCTGTGTGGGGATTTGTCCTCAGACTTGCGGCCCTCTCTGGTCTCATGAATGTGGAAGCTCTCTGTACAGCACTGGGATCTGCGCCAGAGCCAACCGGAACTTCAGACTCAACCAGATTATCACACCTGCCTTACAAAGTAACCATCCAAACACCCACCCACCCATCCATTCATTCACCTATCCACCCATCCACCCTTCCATCCATCCATCCATCCATTTATATATCCAACAATCCATCCATCCATCCATCCATCCATCCATCCATCCATCCATCCACCCACCCACCCATCCATGAATTCATTCATTCATTCTTCCATCCATTTATCTATCCAACAATCCATCCATCCATCCATTCACCTATCCAACAATCCATCCATTCATCTATCAACAATCCATCCATCCAGTCATCAATTCCACAATCATTCATCCATCCATCCACCCCTCATCCATTCATCCACCCATCCATTCATACATACATTCATCCCTCCATTCACCCATCCATCAATCCATCCATCCATCCATCCACCCATCTTCAGTGAATTCATTCATTCATCCTTCTCTCCATTCATCCATTTATCTATCCAACAATCCATCCTTCCAGTCATCTATTCCACAACCCATCCATCCATCCATCCATCTATCCACCCACCCATCCATCAATGAATTCATTAATTCATTCTTCCATCCATTCATCCATTTATCTATCCAACAATCCATCCATTCATCTATCAACAATCCATCCATCCAGTTATGTATCAACAACCCATCCATCCAGTCATCTATTCCACAACCCATCCATCCATCAATCCATCCACTCACCCACCCACTCATCCATCCATCCATGTCATCTATTCCACAACCCATCCATCCATCCATCCATCCATCAGTCCATCCACTCACCCACCCACTCATCCATCCATTAATCCACCCATCCATCCATCCATCCATCAATTAATTCATTCATTTATTCTTCCATCCATTCATCTATCCAACAATCCATCCATTCATCTATCAACAATCCATCAATCCAGTCATCTATTCCACAATCCATTTATCTATACATCCATCCATCCATCCATCCATCCATCAATCCATCCATCCATCCATCCATCCATCCATCCATCGACCCACCGACCCATCATCAATGAATTCATTCATTTATTCTTCCATCCGTTCATCTGTCCAACAATCCATCCCTTCATCTATCCAACAATCCATCCATTCATCGATCAACAATCCATCCATCCAGTCATCTATTCCACAATCCATTCATCTATGCATCCATCCATCCATCCATCCACCCACCCACCCATCCATCAATGAATTCATTCATTTATTCTTCCATCCATTCATCAATTCATCTATCCAACAATCCATCCATTCATCTATCAACAATCCATCCATTCAGTCATCTATTCCACAATCCATCCATCCATCCATCCATCCATCCATCCATCAATCCATCCATCTATGCATCCATCCATCCATCCATCCATTAATCCACCCATCCATTCATCCATTAATCCACCCATCCATTCATCCATCCATCCATCCATCCATCCATCCATCCATCCATCCATCCATCCATCCATCCATTTGTCTATCCAACAATCCATCCATCTACCCATCCATCAATGAATTAATGAATTAATTCATTCATTCATTCTTCCATCCATTCATCTATCCAACAATCCATCCATCCACCCATCCATCATTTCATTCATTCATTCATTCATTCATTCATTCATTCATTCTTCCATCAATTCATCCATTTATTTATCCAACAATCCATCCATTCATCTATCCAACAATTCATCCATTCATCTATCAACAATCCATCCATCCAGTCAATTATTCCACAATCCATCCATCCATCCATCCACCCACCCACCCATCCATCAATGAATTCATTCATTTATTGTTCCATCCATTCATCCATTCATCCATTCATCTATCCAACAATCCATCCATTCATCTATCCAACAATCCATCCATTCATCTATTCAACAATCCATCCATCCATCCATCCATTCATCCATTAATCCATCCATCCATCCATCCATTTATCTATCCAACAATCTATCCATCCATCTATCCATCCATCAATGAATGCATTCATTCATTCATTCATTCATTCATTCATTCATTCTTCCATCCATTCATCTATCCAACAATCCATCCATTCATCTATCCAACAATCCATCCACCCAGTCATCTCTTCCACAATCCATTCATCCAGTCATCTATTCCACAATCCATTCATCCATCAATCCATCTATGCATCCATCTATGCATCCATCCATCCATCCATCCATCCATCCATCCATCCATCCATCCATCCATCCACCCACCCATCCATCAATTAATTCATTCATTTATTCTTCCATCAATTCATCCATTTATCTATCCAACAATCCATCCATTCATCTATCCAACAATTCATCCATTCGTCTATTCCACAATCCATCCATCCATCCACCCACCCATCCATCAATAAATTCATTCATTTATTCTTCCATCCATTCATCTATCCAACAATCCATCCATTCATCTATCCAACAATCCATCCCTTCATCTATCCAACAATCCATCCATTCATCTATTCCACAATCCATCCATCCATTAATCCACCCATCCATTCATCCATCCATCCATCCATTTATCTATCCAACAATCCATCCATCCATCCATCCATCCATCCATCCATCCATCTACTCATCCATCAATGAATTCATTCATTCATTCATTCTTCCATCCATTCATCTATCCAACAATCCATCCATCCAGTCATCTATTCCAAAATGCATTCATCCAGTCATCTATTCCACAATCCATTCATCCATCCATCAATCCATTCATCCATCCATCAGTTCATCTATCCATCCATCCATCCATCCATCCATCCATCCATCCATCCATCCACCCATCCATCAATTAATTCATTCATTTATTCTTCCATCCATTCATCCATTTATCTATCCAACAATCCATCCATTCATCTATCAACAATCCATCCATCCAGTCATCTATTCCACAATCCATTCATCTATGCATCCATCCACCCACCCACCCAACCATCCATCAATGAATTAATTCATTTATTCTTCCATCCATTCATCTATTTATCTATCCAACAATCCATCCATTCATCTATCCAACAATCCATCCATTCATCTATCCAACAATCCATCCATTTATATATCAATAATCCATCCATCCAGTCATCTATTCCATCCATCCATCCATCCATCCATCCATCTATCCACATTTGATTATTATGCTTTTCTTTTGTCTTGTAGGGTGCGAGACATTTATGGACATTGTTATTGTTCTGGATGGATCCAATTCCATCTACCCTTGGTACGAGGTCCAGGACTTTATCATAAACATCTTGCAGAAGTTCCACATCGGCCCGGGTCAGACCCAGGTCAGTATACACACATGTGTAGAGCGGTGGGGAAAAGACCCCCTCAACCTCAGCAAACTGACCTGGATTTTCCAGGTTCTAAATGCTTTTAGTCCAAGTGTAGAAAAATGCACAGCTGTTTCCACCATTAATTACACAGAAGCAAAGGCATCACAGAAAAGTTAAGAGGCCTTGCCTCTCAGTGCAACCCAGGGCAGCTGTGGATACAACATAGCTCACTCCGACCAGTGTGAATGTGTGGATGACTGTTTGTGTTGTGAAGTGCCCTGGGGGGTTGTAGAATCCTAACCTCTACTCCACATCAGCGGCGTGGAACCGCACTGTTTCAAATAGAGTCCATTGTAGTAAATAGAGTGTTTGAAACCAGCTGCGATGCGACAATTTTCAGACACGTCCCAGATGCGGCACGGCTAAAGACAAGATAGGATCAGGTTCTTTTTTTTCTACGAGCCGCTTCTGGGATACAGTATGTCAATTTCTGCAGTTGTGCTGCTGTGTTATGGAGAAAGATATTTACTTTTGATGTCATTGTTCTCTTAATACTCTGTTTAGCTAACTCTTTATCAGCCTAAGGTCCAGTTCACAAGGCACGATAATAATGTTGATTTTGACCTCCCTCTACACCACTCATCCCCCCCAACACACACACACCTTTCTTTTGTGTGCCCCCTGCACAAACACAGAATTTAAAGTCAGCAGCCATCTAAATGAGCACAACAGTACAATTTTAATATTTGAACAACAGCAACAAGAACATCAGCTATGTTCCTGCAGCAAAGATATCATTAAAATCATATGACAGCGGTCTCACCTTAGGGTTTTTTGTTTTTAAGATCGCAGGTATGTCTTTTTTATCAGCTTTTATCAGGAGAAGCTCCTCTCTGCGGCAGCAACTGTCACTGGCATTAGTGATGTGTCTTGGTGTTAAACTGGATAGCACCCTTAGTTTTGATAACCACATCAATGGAGTGATCTCCTCATCCTTTTTCCACCTTCGTCGGCTGTCAAAGATCAAACCTTTTTTGTCATGACATGATCTTGAGACGGTAGTCCATGCTTTTATTATGGTGCGATTGGATTACTGCAACTCTGTTTTATTCTGTGTGAACAAGGGCTCAATAGCCAGGTTACAAATGGTGCAGAATGCTGCTGCCAGATTTTTAAAGGGCAGGCGCAAGTATGACCACATTACCCCTGTCCTGGCTGCACTTCATTGGCTGCCCATTGATGTAAGGATTCATTTTAAAATACTCTTATTGGTTTTTAAAACGTTAAATGGTCTGACCCCTCCTTACTTGGTGTCACTGCTTCAACCGTACACCCCTGCACGGTCACTCCGCTCGGAGAACCTCATGCTCCTCTCGGTCCCAAAAACGCGCCTAAAGACACGTGGTGATAGGGCCTTTGCTGTGGCAGGTCCTAAGCTTTGGAACGAGCTTCCTCTCAGCATTAGGGCCTCCACCTCTGTTGCGGTTTTTAAGGCAAGGCTAAAAACCTACTTTTATGATCTGTCTTTTAATCTTTCTAACTAGTTTTTATTGTTTTACTTATAGCAATCTGTGTACTCACTGTATTTTTATCTGTATCTTGTGATACAATGTTTTTATTTTCTGGACTTAATGTTTTATGTTTTTTACTTGATCAGTGTAGCATCTTGGTGGCATCTTTTTGCCTGTAAGGCGAGATTTACAAATAAAGTTGAGTTGAGTTGATGTGTCGGTCGCGAACGAACCGGCTCTAAGAGCCGGCTCTTTGAAGTGAACGACGGGAGCCGGCTCGTCATTGGGAGCCGTCCCCTCCCCCCTCCCCTCTTGCTTTGGTGAAAGCTGCAGGAGATTGGTCAACATGTGTAACTGCGTGTCCAGACTGTCTACACACAGAGCAGTAGGGGCGGGGAAGAGGGAGGATCAGACTCAGACACACAGCAGAGCATATGCGGGTGGAGGGAGGCAAGAGGGAATGAGGAGGAGGAAAAAGGAGGGAGAGAGAGGAGAATGCGACGAAGACGGTGAGAAAATGAGCGCCAGCAGTCGGAAAGTGGAGATTTCTTAAAGTGTTCAGTTATTAAATCCATAGAAATTATTAGTATTTGATATACAGCATTTTTTTTACATTAGTAAATAATTTTACATATAGTTTTGCATTGTTTTGGTTATAAATGGACTCTACGCAACAGAAAATCTGAGGAGCCACTTGGGAGCCGAAAGAACCGGCTCTTTTTGTACTGAAGCAGTTTCATTTAAGGTCATCCTTGGTTTGATCTTAGTTGCAATTTGGTTGCAGGTGGCCATTGTTCAATATGGCTCTACAGTAATTCATGAGTTCAGTCTCAGTGATTATCAGACGATGGAGAAAGTGCTGCAGGCTGCGAGGAACATCAACCAGCGAGGTGGAGAGGAGACGAAAACAGCACTGGGTATCAAAGTGGCACGGTAGGAGGACTCCCTGACTGTAGCAGCTTAGATGAAACTATGGCTGAGTGTTAAATTTTGAATCAGTCAGGGTACATGTAGAACTTGATAAACCTCTTCTGATGCAGGTCAGAAGCATTCCAGCGAGGCAGCAGGCCAGGAGCCCAGAAGGTGATGATTGTGATCACGGATGGTGAATCACATGACAGCCACCAGCTGGGGCAAGCTGTCAGTGACAGCAAAAACGAAAACATCACCATGTATGCCATCGCTGTGAGTTCTGCTCCCTACACTAACCTTCAAACACCTCCTAAATCTGCTATGATCATCACTTTGACCTCTTTGTGATGGTAGCCTGAGTGCTTCAAGTACATAAACAGCAAAGGGCATTAATGGAGTGTAGTCTGATTGCTTGGAAGGTCTGCTTTGTAGATAAGGACCACTGAAAACTGATGAGGAGAGGTGCAAGCACACCCACAAGCAGTTCAGATGAAAGTTTCTAATAACTAAAACATGTTCTGCATTTATTTATTTAAAGGGTCAGTGTACATTCCTCCACATTTAAACTAGTCAGATTATTAATGTCAACTCTCCTTCTGTACAAACATGAAGTCTTTGGACTGAGTTTATGAGCAAATGCTACTAATATATATGTATGTGTGTGTGTGTGTGTGTGTGTGTGTGTGTATATATATATATATATATATATATATATATATATATATATATATATATATATATATATATATATGAATGAGTTAGAGATGGTGGAATTTCATCCATTTTGATATGTCAGAGAGACAGTTTGATATTCGTGCAGAGACAGTGTGGTCATCCGGTGGAAATGACAGATAGAGCTGGGTGTCGTCTGCATAGCAGTGGTAGGAGAAGCCATGTGATCAAATGATCTTACCCAGTGAGGTGGTGTATATGGCAAAGAGAAGAGTTCCTAGTACAGAGCCCTGGGGAACTCCTGTGGCAAGATGGTGCACGGTAGAGGATTGTCCAAGCCAAGATACACAGAAAGATCGTCCTGTGAGGAACGATTCAAACCAGGGGTGTGCTTTCTCTGTGATGCCCATGCTAGATAGTGTTCCTGGTCATTCTCAGAATATGTCACGCCTGCTCTGGTGTTAAAAGTTAGTACATTTCAGTCCTAGATCATATCTGTGCCTGTTCTACTCTCATTTTGAAGGATTATTATTATTTATGTGTGTTTTTACTACATTATGTGTAGAAATGCTAATAAAAACTCCCAATTATACAAACAAGTGAAACTGGAAAAATTAGAATCTGGTGCAAAGTCAATTTTATTTCAGTAATCCAACTAGACAGCGAGACTATTTAAAGGCTCAGGAACCCTTTGCAGGTGTATTCTATTTATAAATTTTAGTTGATTTGGGTCTTGTTTCATATCACACAGTGACATCTGAATAATTAAAATGCAATTTTTTTATTAAAAGCTTTAGCTTACAGTAATAACCATGTCTAATGTTTCATTCTCTGTCTCATAATTTTAATTAAAGTTTTGCTTTGAGAGCACATTTTCCAGAAAGATTAAAATGTGATTAATTTAGATAAATTAATTACAAAGCCTGTAATTAATTAGATTAATTTTTTTAATCAAGTCCCAGCCCTAATATATATATATATATGTTTTATATACAGATTCATATATATAGTTTCTTGTTTTTTTCCCATTTCCTGTCTGGCTTTGAAGCAAACACAAATAATATCTGAATGCTGGTGACAAGCCTTACAGATTTACTCTCAGGTGGAGCATCAAAGCATCTGCTTTAATGTCACGCCTGATACTAAACCTATATTGTTATTGTTTTTGGATGCTTTTTAATTCCGACCAGACACAGACACAGAGGTTTAAGAGAAGGGAAGAGACAAAAGGAAGGGGGGTTCCACAAAAATAAACAATCAATGTTTATTGAGTCTGCATCTAGACCTCCTTCTAGACCTGCAGAAAGAGAGAAAAGAAATAAAAGAGACACACAACAATACCACAGGAGCAAAATATCACTGCATCAACCAAAACAGGAGATATAAAATCAACATTGTTTTGCTGAGCATTCACACGATAATAAATCACAATGCATTTAGTGCCAACCACAGCCTTTGGACGTGTTGAAAAAGCCCAAGTCCACACCTGTGTAGGTACACACGCTTGTATATGTAAAGTTTCTCCAAAGGAACATCCAATAGAGAGTGTGAGGGAACACAGATCTACCCCCCAAAGATGCGTAGACGATGGAGGGGGCTCCAAGCCTCAGAGATCCAGGAGCTGCCCCAGAGCGCAGGGACCCCAGTGAGACTGTAATGAGAGAAGACCCAGCCCCCTCTTGAGAGGCGCAGAGGATTGCCCCAGGGAGCTACAACCAGCAGCGGCAGAGTCCGGGGAGATAACAGCGGCAAGCCCACAGGCCCGCCCGCAGCCTCCCACCCCCATGCCGACTGAGGCAGGAACCCAGCAGCCCAGGACCCAGGGGCGACCAGCCCCAACAGTGCTAGATCAAAGATCAAATGCTACTAATATATTTAACGTCGAATGGAACTCTTGGAACAGCGTGAATTTGGAGAAGTAACAACTAATTCTGTCAACACAGACAGGTTGCTGAGTTACATTTTAGCTGCTTTAGTGAATCAACAGAACAAGCTAGGTTTTGAAAGCAAACATGGTCATGGAACACTCACCCTTCTCCTCAGTTATCTTCCCTGACACGCTTCCGCTGGAACAGGAAACCCATATTGCCAGAGCAAACAAGAGAGTGCTAAAAAAACACTCACTGTTTATTACATACGTCTTCTGTTGTTCGTATCTTCAAATGGTGTTTTTCTTTAGGGCCTCTGGTAGTTTGCCGTAAAGGTGAAGTGGTAGTAGACGTTTCTCCTTCTTTAATGTTACTGAGTGGAAAACCTCTCACACCAGTGGTGTTCTGTTGCCAAAGACGTGAGTGTTTGATGAGTGGAGGACCCAGGGATGTGTGGCAGTTTGGTTAGACTGACAACCCGATGGTCTAACTGTTGATTTCGTTCCAAAACATGATATTGGTAGACGTTTTGCGAGAGAACCATTTTATTTTTATTTTGTTAATTTATTTATTTTATCTGAATAATGTATTTATAGCTAAACTTTCTTAGAATGTTGTTAAGAGTCATAAAATGTTTTAGACTAATTTGTTTTCCAAATTTGTTTTAACAGCTTTAAAAACCTTTAACATGCTCCGGTTTCTTTAACTCTGGTAAACAAGAAGACAATCCCACCAAGCAAAAACTGGAGGTTTAATACATCACTGGTTAAAGACGAAGGTTTAAAATTATTTTTTTATAAAGGAATGGGCTTTATATTTAGAACATAATGACCTGCCTGGAACATCAGCATCTGTTCTCTGGGAGGCAGGAAAGACAGTGATGAGAGAGGTAAAATAATCTCTTTCTCATCACATATGAAAAAAACAGAAAACAAACATATTCAGGAGTTAGAGGAAATCATTAAGTCTTTAGAGACAGCCACAGAAGAAGAGTTACTGAGAAAATTACATAAAGCTAAATTAGAACTTCTTGGAATTATTGACAAAAATACACAATTTTTAGCACAAAGACTACGAATAGGAAACTTTGAACATAGTAATAAATCAGGTAAATTTTTAGCTAGCCAGTTAAAAATAAATAAAGAGAAAACTACCATATCTGCTGTTAAAGACTCAACCGGGAATATAGTTTATGACTCTGAAAGCATAAACAAAACTTTCAGAGACTTTTACCAAACTTTGTACTCACCACAGGTAAACCCATCAGATAACGAGATCAATGAGTTCCTTGACAGGATAACACTTCCTAAATTATCAGACAGCCAAGTTACAGTCCTGGACTCGCCACTAACATCAGCAGAGCTCCAGGAAGCCCTTAAATCCATGCCTAATAGGAAAGCTCCAGGTCCAGACGGGTTTCCAGCAGAGTTCTACAAAGAATTCTGGATCATTCTGGCTCCAACATTCTTCAGAATGGTGAGGGAAATCGAAGAGAATGGCAGATTACAGCCAAACATGAATTCAGCCAATATTAGTCTTTTGTTAAAACCAGGCAAAGACCCTGTATTTCCTACCAGCTATCGCCCAATTTCTCTTATTAATGTTGACCAGGGACCAGGCAGGGATGCCCGCTCAACCCCTCACTGTTTGCTATCTTTATCGAACCACTAGCAGGAGCAGTTAGGCAAACAACAGGTATTAAAGTCATAAAGACTAAGAAAATAGAACATAAGATCAGTCTTTATGCAGATGATGTTTTACTCTTTCTCCAGAATTCTCATTCCTCTCTCTCTCCCATTTAATAGAACTGATAAACTCTTTTTCAAGAGTTTCAGATTACTCTATAAACTGGCTAAAATCCACAGTTCTACCAATTAATTTCTCTTTTGTCAATTTGCTTAATACACAGTACATTCACCTCTGACTCCGTGTCTGGTCGGAATTACAAAGTGTTCAAAAGCAATAACAATAAAGTTTTAAGTATCAGGCATGACATTAAAAGCAGATGCTTTGATGCTCCACCTGAGAGTAAATCTGTAAGGCTTGTTACCAGCATTCAGACATCAATTCTGTTTGCTTCACAGCCATAAAGGACACGGTTAAAAAAATAAAAATAAAAATAGCTTAATACACAATTGGAGTCAGGGAATATCACACACCTGGGAATTAATGTCTCTCCCAAATTGGCAGATCTAACCAAACTAAACTACATCCTACTTTTAAAGAAAGTGGAAGATGATCTTGCAAGATGGAAATCCTTACCAATATCACTCATGGGGAGGGTTGCTACAATTAAAATGATGGTCTTACCCATGTAAAGAATGGGTCGTTTACATCTTATTTATGAACCATAAAATGTGAGATTCCATAGAAATATGGAATATCAATCTGATGGATCTTTGACTATTTTAACCAGAAGATCAAAACTTTTTATTGCAGGGATTAAGCGAAACTTCGTATTAACTACAAGGAAAGAGAGAGAGTCAGGTTTAAAATAGTTAAGAATTTTATTTCTACACAATTTAAACAAGACTAACTTAAACACTCTGTGTACTAGGGGTTGTGTGAACTAGTCGACTAGTCGACTTCACTGCTCTGTAGTGACTTTTATGCCTGTCATCGACTAGTCGCTGTCCCATGATAATGACAAGATGCAGTCCTCAGAAAAGACAGCAGGTGACGAGCCCCTGCGCGTCTGGATCGAGGCGGAGGCGACGCGCTGTGCCAGAGCGTCGGTACTGACACCCGCCATAAAACGGACATTTAACCAAATTGTGACCTTTTCCCTCTTGCAATTTTACCTTCCCCATTCACTTTAGGTCATACAAATATACAAATATTTTCACGTGAAAACAGCAGAGTCCAAACGCAGAAGCTTCTGATACTATTATGAGATCACTAGTGAATCCTACCATCAGGCCTAACCCCCTCAGGCTCAAAATAAATTTTGATAAAAAGGATGAACAATTAAGTCCTGAAAAATGCTCATGAAATACGTATGTGGAGTAACCAGGTAGGTAAGTTTTAACGTTGCAAATCTGCAACGCCTGCCTCCAGAGGGTTAAAGGATCAGCTACTCATGAAAACTCACGTCAACCATTTTGCTGAATGAAACAGGAAATACCCCCCACCCCCGTTCTAGAGCTCCGTTCAATGTTCACCTCTTTCTCAGAAAAAAATTGGGCTAAAATGTAGTAATTCACATTCATATTGTTCTTTGTTTTCAGAGTTTAACAACTTGAGTTTTCTATCATCTTTCACATTCAGGTCTTGGGTTATTACAACCGTCGGGGAATCAACTCTGAAGCCTTTCTGAAAGAAATCAAGGTCATTGCCAGTGACCCTGATGAGGATTATCTCTTTGAAGTGACGGATGAATCTGCTTTAAAAGACATCGTGGATGCTCTGGGAGAAAGGATTTTCTCTCTGGAAGGTCAGTTCGACTTTTAGATGAGTAACGAAGTCCCCTGAAGTCAGAAGCAGTAACGCTTTACAGGAATCCATGTTTACAAACAAACAACTTTAATATGTTTTGTTTGTGTATGATTTAGCCTTCCCTGGGTTTGTAATAATTATAAATAGGCTTATCAGGCAGTAGTAATCACGTCCGTTCTATCACTGATACACTCACCCTAACCCCTACTTCACACTGGAAGCACCAGTGGCGCAGAATGGGGGCAAAACAGTACTACGTCAAACAGAATCCATTATGGTGTGGCTCAAACAAGTTGTGACACGGAATTTTTCCCATATTCGCCGCTTGGATCACGGTCTATTTCGCGTTCAGTGTGAAGTAGGGGTAAGACCCACATAAGCTTTCTTCTTACTGAGCAAAAGCTCAGTCATTTACACTTTCTCATATCCATTCGAGATCCTTTTATCCTCACAAACCATTGTACCCTAAGCGCTCCACGGACCACGGCTTCCACTAAGCAGCGCTGCCAGCCAGCACTCCCAGCCCCGGTCATGTCAGCTAGCCACTTGTGGCTTGTAGAGGAACGTGCCTGTCGGCGATCACCCAGCACTCTGAATATGTGTTTTGGTTCGCCCACATGCAACGACATGATTCCTCCTCTCAGGATCTTGGTCATGTTGTTTACCAAAAACTCTGTCAATAATAAAAAGGCTAAGCGACATGCTAGCGCTGCAGTCTGTTTCCAACATGTTTCCTACTCATTTGAAATCACGAACACAGCTGATTTGTTTAATTTAGTGATGAATCACTCAAGGAGACACTAAGGAAGGCTGAGAAGACATTTCAGCTGTTAGATTAAGGTTTTAGAAGCACTAGCGTACAGCGAGGAGGAGATTTTCAGTTTTGGTTTTATGATAGTGATTAAAAACGGACTCTCGGGGGCAATAAAAGCAAGCCAAAACTGCACAGTGTTCCTTCAGTAGAAAACAGTCAAAAGGCATGTTTCCATTCTCATAAATTCTGGGAAATTCCTTCAAGGGGGAAACTGACTGGGAGATAAGATGACCCTGGCCTCTCAGCTGTTGAGTCTCCATACAAATTCAGTCTTTTCAGGACTTTGCACAGACACCAGCATATTGCCACTGCTTCGGCAGTGAGTGATGTCACTGATCAGTGCCAAAAAGCACCCACAGTAACATTAAAAGTTTTATTTTGCAGATGTCCAGCATAGTTTAATCCATTCAGAACACGACAGCAGCTGCATAATGGAACATGTATTGTTCAATGACCAGAAGCAGCTCAGTTTTTACGGCACTCTGTGAAACAACAACGCTCTGTGAGTACGTCAATGTGGGAGAATTTGGGAATAGGTAAATGGTCTGTATTTGATATAGCACCTTCCAAAGTTCTGGAACCCCCCAAGGCACTTTACAACATAATCAGTCATTCACACATTCACACGCTGATGGTGATGAGCTACAATGTTAGCCTGGCCTGCCAGACTCGTCCTCTGTTTAATTCTGCACAGAGAAAGAGTCTGGTAACTCACAGGCAGAGAGGCACATGAGGGGCGGGACTAGGCAGCTCAAAAATAACCAATCAGTAAAAAGACGGAAATGCAGACTGTACCATGTGATGCTGTAGTATTTTAGCTGTAGTAAAAAAAAAAAGGTGTCTGGCAACGGCGCAAACATCTTTTTTTTTTTAAAGAAAGGCCTTTAGCGCTTCTACTTGCTGTTTAAAAGACATTCAAGCCATTTAGAACAGAGGAAAGAGCTGCAGCGAACTCCGCTTGAGTTGCCATGTTTATGACAAACTTGGCGTTATGGTGTGTGGCGTACGCTACTCAGCGCTGATTGGCTTGGTTAGAATTCTCAGGGGGTGGGGCTATTTGAATAGGAGAGTTCCCAGACCCTTTCTCTGTGCAGAATTAAACAGAGGAGGAGTCTGGCAGGCCAGGCTACTACATTGTAGCCACAGCTGCCCTGAGGTGCAATGATAGAGGCAAGTCTGCTGTATACAGGCACCATCTGCAGGCAAAACGGGTTAAGTGTCTTGCCCAAGGACACAACGACAGACTGAGTGGGGTTCGAACCTGCAACCTTCCAATTAGAGGGTGGGCACTTAAAACTACATTCTGCAACTTTTACACCTTAAATAATGTTTTTTTAAAGGTTTTGGTGTAACACTATAGTTTAATATGTTCATTTTCGTAACTGTGATAGTGTTATGGGGCCTGATGTCTGTTTACCACACTAGAGAGTTTTTGAGCGGCGGGCCGCCGGCGGAAGCACTGACTGCATGTTGCTTTACGACAGTATCTCGTAGACGACCGGTTTAGAGAATTCAGTTATGGCAGATCCTCCAAAGACAGCTAGAAAACCATTATCAGAGGAATCTAGGAAAAGAAAGAGAGAATGCGATAGAGAAAGAGGAAAGAACAGAATTAAAATTGGGCTGACTTTTCCTCACTGGAGAGCTCTTCTAGAAAGAACGGCATGTACTACAGACTCTGACCTAGCCGTGATGCTAATGAATAGGTAAGTAAATTATTTCACCGGGGTTATTGTGTTTGATCAGGCATTAAGTTGTTATACGGTACTGATAAAAGTATTGATTAAATGTGTGTAGGTGGAAATCTAAGTATTTTTTTCTAATCCACACAACTGATTCAGTCTCAGTGTTAGCCACAGAGGCTAATGTGATGCTAACTTGTAAGAGTCAGGTCTGTCGTATCAAGCTGCAAACCCCAGCGTACACACTGTTTAGCAGTAAATAAGTCAAACATCTCATCTCTATCATTGTGCCCTGAGTCAGATTTTAGGTTTAAACTTGTTATTAGTCCTGTTTTGTTTTTCTGATTATAATTAGTAAACGTTACGATAGACCACGTGTCATCCACGTTGGTCCTCGACAGCTTCTGCATGTTTTAGAGACATCTCCGTTCCAACACAGCTGAATACATGGAATGAGTCATCACAAGAACTTTGCTAACATTGATCACAGCTGAAAAATCCTTTCAGTCATTTGATTCAGCTGTTTTCTAGCCGAGATGTTTGGAAAATCAGAAGGATAGTAGCTCTCGGGGCCCAGTGTTGTTGAGACCTGGTGGTGACACAATTAGTCTTTGACAATGGATTAAATTGACTCTTATTTTCTCTAATATGAAACACAGCAAGTTACTTCTACACCAAATAAGAGACAAAATGAAATAGAAGCACCATCACCACCACCACCTGTATCAACTGTTACAGAGGGGTCTGGGTATGTTTAGTATTTTTCTCTCTCCATTTAGATGATATGTAAATAATGTTGTGATTTATCAATATCATGTTGTTGGACCATTAGAAATTTATCTGATGTTGTATTTTTTCTTTCTTTTTAAATCATGTATTTCAATAATACATTTTTAACTAATACATTTTATTATTTAGAGAGGAGGAGATCAACATTGAAGGCGTTCATCAGGTGTGCTCTGAAAAAGAAATAGATGTGTTAGAATCCAGGTCGGTGTTACATTCATTATAGACAAGATTTCTACGTATTTTTTTCTGTTATGAATGTATCTATCTTTTTTACTCATTTACGAGTTTCAGCATGCACTCTGAGTATGGCTCCAGAAGAGCTGCAAGACTGTTTGAATGAAGAGGATCTGAATGATCTGAGGAACAGCATGTAAGTTTTTAATCTCCTTTTATATTTTTGGACATGATATTGGTATTGTTTTTCTTTCTAATATTTTTTCATTAATAGTGTTGAGATCGATGGATGCTGTAATCCAGGTGACGATAGCCCAGAAGTTGATGGGGACAGCTCTGATGAGGATTTCATTACACACCTTTGTCTACAGTGTGTTACTGTTATTCAGCGCATTTCAGATAATAATTAATTTTTTCATAATATGCTCATAATTTTGAATGTATCTGTCATCGTTTAGTTTAATTTAGACCACACCTTGCAAAATCAAAAGTCCTTCAGCAGCTACAACATCAGCTTAGATGAAGCTGTTATTGATATAGCTACTACCAACGAACCGGAGGAGGAGATCCAAACCACACCCAAACAACCCAAAGTTCTGTGTGAAGAAGATTTGGTTGGGAAAAGTGCCTGCATTGTCTACAATGATATTCTGCTGCACCTGGTGTCATACCTGGAGTTGTCTTTCCGGACGTGTAATTACAACGATCCAGTCACTGCAACAGCATGTCCAGGAAGAGCCCCATTTCAAGCAACTTTGAAACCTTGTGGAACCGGAGCCTGGCTGGAATGGGTAAGAGACCATTTTCTATTTTTGTTTAATGATGAATGATGAGAATCTATACTTATTCTTTTCTAATTTTAATCCTAAATGTATTTTCGATACATAGGTTATATTCAGTTTCTATTTTTGTCAAAGTTGTATGTTGTGTGTTTTTTTAGACTTGCCCTTTCGGACACATCGTGTGGAGATGGAATTCCCAACCTTTGTTAAAGTTTGGGATGCAGGGGGGTAACTTTATGTTGGCAACAAAAATACTGTTGAAGGGGGAACAATTACCCAAAAACAGCCCTCCTCTTTCGTTTCATGAATATGGGAATGGTGGCACAAAGCCTACTATATTGCACATTCAGGTTCTGAAGCTCACCTGGCACTCACAGCCATCGTTTTAAACATACGGTGGTTAAAGGACGTGAAAAAGTTCAGAACTTTCAGGTATGTAAATTATTGTCATTTACTATTGCATGATGAGCACAGATTGTCATACATACACTTTTTTTGCAGGCACATCAAATATTATTGACTCTACTTGATCTGTAGTATCTACTTCATCATTATAGCTAGCTCACCAGAAAAGCTATACACACTGGTTTTATTAGAAGTTTTTATGTGTTGTCTTCACCAGAACAAGTGATTTGGAGAGTTTCCAGAACCACGCCCTAATGTATGCTAGGAAGCGGTTTGCATACAGTCCACCAGTATACAAGACACGGCAGTTGCTTGCTGCAATAGACTATAATCACCACAACCACCGGCCTCCAGCTCACAACCGTGAAGGAAACAAGATGTAGGTTTTAATTTTAGAAATATTTTCTATTTTTGAGGCCTAATTGTCACATTTTGAATTTGTTTCAAATCATGAAGTCAATTTCTATTCCAGATACTGGCGGCACTACAACAAGAAATCTAAGAACTGGATTGTCTACACTACAAAGGAAGCAAAGCAGTACAGTTACATTCCACAACTGCAGAAAGCCATTGTTCAGAAGCGAATGTCGAGTGCAGCTGGACTTCCCAGGGCACGGACTCTCAGACCAGGTGATCCGAGACTTTTAGGATTGCTTGCAGCAACAAATCCACCACCCACAGAAGAACTTGTACAGGCACATGTTTCTAGGGGAGATTGTGTCCCCCTAAAATAATAAAGAATGTAGAAAAATGAACTGATGGTGTTATTTTTTGGAACTATTTATGTCACATTTTCAGAGTTACTTACAATAACAAAAACAAACATTTTAATTACTGAAAATGTTATTTATAACTATGATAACAAGACACCCATTTTACGCAGCTAGACGATGTACTCTAAATCCTGTGTAGTGGCCTCTGGGATCAGGAAAAGTACATCTGATCTTCCATACGTAACAGCTTGGAATCACAACCCTGTTCCCTTGTCCGAGATAGCCGTGCTGCCAGAGGACAAACTGTCTGTACGCTGCATGCCGGTACTGACGTTTCTCGACACCAGGTTCCTGGGCATCATCTATAGCGAAGATGTCGTACCAAGCTGCATGGGCCAGCCTCAACACTACATCTTATATGTAGTAGTCCATGTATACCATTTTGCTAATGCAGTCATCATGTGCCATTCTGCAGCAAAGCCTCTCTATGTCACTATCCATCTCCCTCTCCCACCCCCTCTCCCTCGTCCTCTCCCTCTGCTGCCATTGATACCTATTGAGTGAAGTTAAAATAATATAACCTACAAATTTATAAAATAAGGCATTTGTTTTTATATATGAAATGCAAATGCTATTACCAAATGTAACAATTACATTACTGTGGTTTATTCATCATTACATAAGCATAACACTTTTGTCACTGTTATAGTTAGTTAAATACTACCTCTCTTCGATTATTAAAGTACAGATTGTCATTATTCAACCTTTTCACAGACATGCTCGTTATGTGCTTCTGACTGTTAAATGCATTTTTGCCGTTATTACATAACCAATTGATTAAGATAAATTGTTAAGATTAAAATATTAATACTTCACCTCGTTGATCATTGCTGATTTTTACTGATCATTTACGAGCTCAAATGCCACTTCATGTGTTTGTTTGTGTACGCAAGTTGGAAAATAGCCAGTGCGAGATAGAGACCTTTGACTTTGCGACAGTGATGTTACGCAGCCAGCCTGGAGGGGGCGACAGAGACCTTATATCCACTAAGTTGCGGAACGGGGCTTTAACTGTTGTGCCACCAAACTTCGAAAGTTTCTGAAAACAGCCCAGAAGACGTCCTGTTGGGTGGAGACATGCGCATGCCCGTAGTTCCGGTGAAGTTACCCTGAAGTTCCGATAGAACCATGCCTTTAAACTCTCAGTTTGGAGGTGCAGGAAGGTTAAAACTGCTGCGCACAACAGAGCTATCCCCACACAAATTTGTTAAAAGATAAATACAAATCTTTATAACAGACTTTCATAAAGTCTAACCTTTGCATCCAATATCTTTACATGCTGGTGTAATGTTGCAGTGTTTGATTTGTACAATCACTTGTTCCACCTGTTTCTGTTTGCAGGTGTCAACAGCCAGGGTCAGGGGTTTGGTCTTCAGATGGCTCAAGCTGGTTTCTCTTCATATTTAGTCCAGGTTAGTGGCTCATGTTGCGAGATCATTTCATGTGTAGGGTTCATAAGTAAACCTCATACTCTTACGTTTATTCAGCATTTAAGTGTGTTTATGTTGATCAGTCTAAATAAAGAATTGTAAACCTTTATTTATAATCAATCAATCAATCAATCAATCAATCAATCAATACTTTGTTAATCCCAGAGGGAAATTAGAGTTTCAGTACACACAATTCAGAGATCAGACATACATGGGCAAGACACATGACAAGAATTGGTGACTGTGGTCATTCGCAACCCGAGTCGCGCTCCCTAAATAGAGGTAAGAGGGTTACATGAAGATTGGATCAGGTGGAGGGAAAAAAAGGCACTTCACAGTTACCCTCAGTACCGGCATGCTTCTGCTTTTAATGTCACGCCTGATACTTAAAACTTTATTGTTTTTGAATGCTTTTTAATTCCAACCAGACACGGAGTTAGAGGTGAAAGAGAAAGGAAAAGACAAAAGGTGGGGGTGGGGGTGGGGGTGGGGGGTCCACAAAAATAAACACTAATGAACAAGAGTCTGCTTCTAGACCTGCAGAAAGAGAAAGAGTAGAAAAAAATGGGACACACAACAATACACCAGGAGCAAGCTATCACTGCTTCAGCCTGATGATGAAATATAAAATCAACATTGTTTAACTGAACAATCACACAATAATAAATTATAGTGCATTTAGTGGCAACGACAGCCTTAAAATATGCGTTGAACATGCCCAAGCCCATACTTTTGAGAGCACCATGTGAGCACCTGTGTGTGTACACACACTTGTTTATGTAAGGTTTCTCTATAAAAGCGTCCAATAGAGAGTGTGAGGGACCACAGATCTGCCCTCCAAAGATGTGTAGGAGACAGGGGGAGCTCCAAGTCCCAGAGATCCAGGCGCTGCCCCAGAACACAGGAACCCCAAGGAGACTGCAACCAGAAAGGCCCCCGCCCCCCTCGAGAGGCACAGAGGATCGCCCCTGGGGGCCACAACCAGCAGCCGGCAGAGTCCCGGGAGATATCAGCGGCAAGCCCTCAGGCCCGCCCGCAGCCTCCGAGCCCGGGACCAAGCGACCTGGGACTCAGGGGGGACCACCCCCACCGGGGACCCAGACCCCACCAGACAGCCACCGGGATTGATCAGGCAGACGCCAAAAATCTTAAATCCCCTGACCTGGGAGCCACAAACACTCAGGCAGACGAAGGCACCACACTCCACACAAGGTGTGGCAGGGAAAGATCTATATCATCAAAAGAAGTCTCAGGAGAGGGGAGGAGTCAAAAGCCCCACCTGACATATACAGCCATACACAAATACAGTCCCAAACTCCCTCCCTCTAGCTCACACATGCACATACAACAAAAGACTTACAAAAATGCACACCGGACACCCACTCATGCTCCCCATACACACCCTATTCACTCTGGTCCCGGTACTGCTGCACATTGGGTACAACCATCACCGGTAACCAGAGTTCGACCCTTTCTGCTGGGGTGCTGATGAGGAGGGTCCCCCGCCCAACGCTGAGCACAGCAACCCACCACCCCAGACCCCAACCGGATGGCCAGATCTCCCTCCTAGCCTCCAGCCCCAGGAACCAAGCAACAACAGAGGTGTGCTAAGACCCCTAGGCTCCCTCCGCCTGCTCCAATATAGTGTTGTTGTGTGTTGATGAGGTGTATTCCATGGCTGTGGTGAGCGGGCAGTGCGGCCATTGTCTAGCCTATGCCAGCTGATGCCACCGCACCAGCCCACTTGCACCCACAGCCCTTGGGTTCTATTTTTGCCGCATGCTGCTACTGGGATGCATCAATTTCTGCAGTTAACATAGGGCTAGACAGGAAATAACACATGGTTTCAGTGTAAAATCACAGGTAAATGTCAAAATAAAAGTACTGCAGCGATGCTATTTCATATATATGAAGCTTACGTGTGACCCAATGGCTAATTTACTCACAGCATCATTCCAGAAGTGCAGCAGCTTTAATCCTGGCAGTGGAGAAGAACAGCATCATCTATGACATCAAGCAACGATATCAAACATGATTTCCTTCTTTTTGGTTTAATGGTGGATTGCTTAAACCAGGGGTGCCCAATCCTGGTCCTGGAGGGCCAGTATCCAGCAGGTTTTAGTTTTAACTCAGCTTCAACACACCTGATGTCAATTAGCTGGTTATTAACAGGCTTCTGCAGAGCCTGGTGAGGTGCTGCACAGGTGATTCAACCACTGAATCAAGTGTGTTGGAGCAGAGAAACCACTAAAATGTGCTGGATACTGGCCCTCCAGGACCAGGATTGGGCACCCCTGGCTTAAACAAACTGTGACCAGATGTCTCAAGGGATCATGTGATCTTGCAAGTCCAGCGAAGAGCATAGCGAGGAAGTTGTGCCGCTGCCAACACTCTCCTGGTGTGAAAAGGGCTGCTTTGAAGTTTGCAAGTAAACCATTTCGCTGCCATTTCGCACCACTGATTCTTTCAGTGTGAAACTGGTGTGAGCCTATAGCAGCATAACTATAGACATAACTCTGGATAACCTAGCCTTTTAGATGGAGGCGTGTTGGAGGCAGGGCAAGGGAAAGCTATGTTTAATGACTGTACACTCCACTGTACTCCCCCACTCGTCCATATCTGGGCTAACATCAGCATTTAATCATAGCTCTATCAAATAAAAATGTTTTAAACCTAGTTTGAAAAGTAGACAAGGTGACTGTCTCGTAAACTAAAGCTGGGAGCTGGTTCCACAAGAGAGGAGCCTGATAGCTAAAAGATCTGCCTCCCATCCTAATTTTAGATATTCTGGGAACCACCAGTAAACCTGCAGTCTGAGAGCGAAGTGCTCAGTTAGGAACATATAGAACAATCAGATCACTGATGTATGACGGAGCTCGGTTATTAAGAGCTTTATATGTGAAGAGGAGGATCTTAAAGTCTATTCTAAATTTAACAGGCAGCCAATGTAAGGAAGCTAGGACAGGAGAGATATGATCTCTCTTCTTAATTCTCATCAGAACTCTAGCTGCAGCATTTTGGACAAGCTGAAGACTTTTAACTGCATTCTGTGGACTTCCTGAGAGTAATGAATTACAGTAATCCAGTCTTGAGATAATAAAAGCATGAACTAGTTTTTTAGCATCAATCCTGGAAAGGATGCTTCTAATCTTAGCAATATTCTGAAGGTGGAAGAAGGAAATTCTACAAACCTGTTTAACGTGGAATTTGAATGACATGTCCTGGTCAAAGATAACACCAAGGTTCCTTACTTTGTTCTCAGAGGCTAATTTATTGCCACTCAGATCAGGTGATTGACTAAGCAGTTTCTTCTTCTGAGGTTCTGGTCCAAAGATGATAACTTTAGTCTTGTCTTGATTTAAAAGTAGAAAGTTTAGAGTCATCCAGATTTGTATGTATTCAAGACAAGCCTGTAATCTACTTAACCAATTAGGTTCATCAGGGTTTATGAATAAATATAACTGAGTATCACCAGCAATGTTTATCCCATGCTGTCTAATCATTTTACTAGTTGGGAGGATGAGCTACAATGAAGCCACAACTGCCGTGGGTTGCACTGATGAAAGCGAGACTGCCGAAAATTGGCATCACCAGTCATCCCTCTGAACATCACCAGCAGGGAAGGTGGATTAAGTGTCTTGACACAACAGCAGCATTCTCTGCTTGGACCCAGGATTGAACCTACAAACTTCTGATTACTGGACAACCGCTCTACCTCCTGAGCTAATTACTTATATTTCAAATCCATGCTTGACCCTATATGCAACTAATATAGTCATTTACACACACAGGTATACATCAATATTTAATGTTCTAACTGAAAACAGTAAAAAAAAAGCATGTCTGTCCAATATTAAAGAGCAGTCTTTGATAATAATTGTTTTAAACTAATTTATCTTCCTGACTATCCAGAATTTTACCCCTGAACCTGACACAGTTCTTCCCCTATTACCCCCTCACCCCCACCCCACTTTCTCTCTGAAAACATTTTCATTATTTTATGTGGAAGTAAACCATTCCTGATGCTTTTCAGCCAGAGATCTTGTTTGCCATCTTAGTGTTTTTGTTGAGGTTTTCTGTGAAAACACAAAAACACATCATTGGGATGAAACTGACGCGTTTTATAAATGTTAAGGAAAATAAAATCAACGTGGCTTGCATTTGTCTTCTGCTCCCTGTGCCTGATACCTCTAAATAAAATCAAGCTCGATTTGCTGAAATGTATTTATCTACAAGCCAGTCATTCCAATGTCACTTGTAAGTCGCTTTGGACAAAAAGTGTCTGCTAAATACATAAACATAAACATAATCGTCCTGTCTTTGTCTCTTTCATATCACCTCTGGCCATGATCCTGGAAAGAGTCTGTCAGCCTTTCATGGGTTATTTTAGTAATTCATCAGCAGACGGGAATCAAAATTGATTGAATTCCATTTAGTGTGTCGTGGTGGAAGCTATCGCTAACACGGAGCAGATGTTTTTCCTCACCGTAAGGCTGCCAACATAACATTCATACAGCACATGGAAGAACTGGGGGACAGATGCAGATCCACATCTGTGGCATGTATCAACAAAAAGACAAACAACACCACCCTGGATGCCTGCAACCTATGAAGTATTAGCTGTAGGTGGCTTAAGAGCCCATAGAGCCATTGATTAAGCTAAACTGGCTGTGATTAAATAATCTGCAGAACATTTCAGTGTTTGTTGCAGGTTTTGGAGATATTTTGAATTGTTGGAACTATGGGACCGGTGCCACCTAGTTATGATCTAACCTAGAGAATCTAACCCAGTGATAACCTGACATATTGATAACCTATACATAAATGGTGTAATTCTGTCTCTACTATTATTGGATGCCTAAATGTTAGACTGGAAGCTGAGGATCTGAGCAAGCAGGAGGGTGTAGAAACTTGTATGAGCTGCGACAGATTTGAGAGAGTGAGGTTGTGAATGGCCTTATAGGTAGGGAGTAAGATTTTGTTATCAATCCTGAATTTTATTGGTAGCCAATGAAGTTGCTGGAAAATTGGGGTGATGTGATTAGAAGAAGGTGTTTTTGTGATGACATGAGCAGCAGAGTTTTGGACCAGTGGGATTTTTTACAAAGATTTCTGTGGCAGACCAAAAAGGAATGCGTTACAATAATCAAGGTGAGAAGTGGCCAAGCTTTTTACTAAAATAGCGGTGAAGTGATTAGATGGAGATGGACATAGGTGATTAATATTTCACAAATGGTACTAAACTGATCGAGTAACAGAACTCATATGAGAATGGTAGGACAGGGTGCTGTCCAGAATAACACCAAGACTCTTAATCTTGTCTAGGCATGTCACAATATAGTTTTCTATTGCTTTTGAGAACTTTGTGGCCTTCCCTAGTGCTGATTTTGTACCCATAAAAAGCACTTTGGTTTTGTCAGAGTTCAGCTTCTGGAAGTTGGAAGAAAACGAGGACTTAATCTCTGCAATGCATTCAGTGGAAGTAACTGTGAAAAGCTCTGTGAATAAGCTGATTATTCTTGCATGCTTTTATTCAGATTTTTATAGTTTTATTCTGCATGCTTTTATTCTGGCGATTCTTCAGAGGAAACAACGTTCATAGTTTTACCCTGCATGATTTTATTTGGGTGATTCTGCACAGGAAATAAGGTTTATAGTCTTATTCTGCATGCTTTTATTCTGGCGTTACTGCAGAGGAAATAATGGGAGAACAAAAATCAGATCAGCTGTGTTTTGCTTTGAAGCTGACGGTGGACTTTGAAACCAAACAGACAGCACTTGGCCTCTAAACCCTATCTTCTGATTAATAAAAGCCTAGCTGGAAATGGGAACAATGTATGGTGTGATGAATGTGTTTTGTGTAGATTGATTGGACTCATGGTTATCCATGAGTAAGCTTCTTATTTGGTCCTCTGCTATAGAGAAAAGTACTTTCTGCCAATAATTTCTTTTGGACATTGATTTGTAGTTCCTTTGGTTTCCTTGCTTTTGCTTTTTACAAGTTTTTTTGTTCATACCATTAGAACTGTGATACTGTTTACTTTGAGTGTTTTGATACTGGTGTGATGTAATAACATGTCCTGTCTGGACATCCCAGGCCTACCGTATTATTAAGCTGCCTTCATGTGCCAGGGCTTTTTTGCTCTGCAGAAATAATTCATAGTGGTATCCTGATTGCATTTGATGTGTGTTGAAAGTATTTAATGCCCTCCAACTTTGTTTGTAATTTTTTTCAGGATGGTGTTTTACTTGGTGCTGTGGGTGCTTACAACTGGAATGGTGCTGTGTTTAAGGAAACTAAACATGGTAGAGTGATTCCACCCAAGTCGTCCTACGAAGAGGAGTTTCCAGAGGCACTTAAGAACCATGCAGCTTATCTGGGTAATAACCTGTGTGTATGTATGAGTGTGTGACCATGGTGCTTTTACAGGACTGCTTAGACTTCCTAGAAGTTACTGTGCCTATTTCACGCTTTATTGAGAAATCTCAATTTTCAAAATACTTGCAGTTTAAAATAGTCACAAAATGGGTTCTAACAAATCCCACGCTAATTGACGCCAGCTACCTATAGGAGGTTTTTGATCAAATGTTTGTATGTGTTTTAGTGATTTTGATTGTTTTTTGTTTTTAAATAAGATGTTTTAAATTTAGATGTGGACCTTTTTTTTAATCAGAATCAGAATCAACTTTATTGTTAGTGCCCCTTTCCTGATCATCCCAGTCCTCAGTGAATCCAATTTTTGGGTTTAAACTTGCCCATACCGTACATTGACTTTCTCCAAGATCACATCCATTTAACACACTAAATCCGGGATCGCAGTTAGATCCTCTAGCTCAGGGATTCCCAAAGTGTGGTGCACGCACCCCTGGGGGTGCACGAGCTGCCGCTAGGGGGTGCGCGAGGTGAAAAGTGTAATGGCTGCGGAGCTCAGAGAAGTCTGTCATATGTCACCATTAGCGTAGAAACTCATTTGTGGGTGGGCCAAAGAAAAAGTAAGTGGGCACAATAAATGTAATTGAAAACAAGTATATTTCTGCGCGCGCGCGTGTCCTCCACATGTGCCCTAGCTTCATAATAATAATAATGCGCCGAGCTTCAGCACTCTGGCCTGCGCACGCCGATATGTTCCGTATTTGATCATTTTTAACGGTGTTGGAGGAATCTGAAGGTGGTGAGTCATTCTGGCAGATTGTAATTAACACATGTCTCATGCAGGTGTTCTGACATTGTAAACCTCACACACAGAACATTGTGGATGTAACTAAATAACAAGAAATGATTCCCATTCAGGCTATTGACAGCACGCTGAAGATCTGAAGTTCAGAGTGCGTCTGTCAGAGGTCAGACGCGTTCCAGCTGAACCACGGCTCACGGGTGCACAAGTGAGCACATCTGGGCTGGGCAGAAGTCATTTTACAACATTGGTTTAAATAGCGCGAGACGCGGTGACTTGAGCGGCTGTGCCGCGCGCACACACACACACACACACACACACACACACACACACACACACACACACACACACACACACACACACACACACAGATTCAATAAGCGCGCACGCTGCTTTAACTCCGGCGCCGTCAGACTGAAGGCAGAAATGAACGCTGCCTCCACCGTGATAAAAACTTTTAAGAGGTTATTTTTCATTCAAGGTCAAATTAAGATATTAGCTTCTGGGATGAGTCGGGTCCGCTCCAGCCAGTGACTCCTCATGAACCTGACCACATCTCATGTTCATGCAGCATGTGTTATTCCAGTCGGCAATGACAGTGGATCGCAGATTCAGCCACACCATAAAACAGCAATAAGTCAGTCTGAGGTAAAAGTGAACATCATGGCTATATCTTGTCCCCTATTGACATTTGATTACGCACAAGTAGGTGATCAGCTCAGGTTTAGGCAGAGCAGAAGGAAGGAGAGCGCGCTGGCCGCACACGTTAAACATTCCTACTTTAAGAAACCCGTTAAATTGCATTGTTTATGTGCTACCTGGGCACTCTAAATATTTATTTAAAATGAAATCAAAGGAAATTGTAATGGTATCGAATGTTTATTAATTACTATTTAAAAAATGAAAGTGATGGGGAATTTTTTTAACCCTGTCTGTTTAGCTTGACATCTGATATATATATATATACATATATATATATATATATATATATATATATATATATATATATATATAGCCATGTCCCGATGTGGGGGCTGGGGGGGGGGGGGGGGGGGGCGTCGACATGGTCGGGACATAGAAGGGGGTGCGCGGCTAAATAAGTTTGGGAACCACTGCTCTAGCTTATGAATCACCTCGAGTAATGTCCCAGTCTGAGCAGTTTCTACATGAAGATTTTCCATGGGTACGGGTTGCTCTTCAATCGCTCCCGTCTTCCCAATTTTCCAGAATACCAGAAATCCTCTCACTCCAAACAGAAGAAATTCATTAATCATCAGCCCAAAAATCCACACGTCTTCAATGTCCTCCATGGAAAGCTTGGAGAGGCATATAATATTCCACTCCTTCCAGGAATCTAATATATACCCCACCAGGGGCGTTCCTTGTGGACAAGTAGGAGCCCCCTGCTCCGTTCTCATGCCTGGTATGTAATAAAATCAATAACCCTGGTTGACCTCAGGTTGGGATCCAGAGAACTCGGTTATTGGTTTTGTAACACTTTCCTGCTGACGGAGAAGTCCAAGAGCTAAACATCTCTGTCAATGTGTGTACGTCTCTCTCTCGCAAGCTGATGGAGCAGTATAAATTATGCTTAAGTGCAAACACATTCCTGCATTATACCTAACCCTTACCCTAATTATAACTTCATTCACACAATACCACTAAAACCAACTGGTAAGCTCTTTAAAAATGTGAGGACCAGAAAAATGTCCTCACATTTTAGGGAAAATAGTGAAAATGTTCCTCAGTGTATGCACAAGAACACACCCACACACAGAGAATCAATTACTTTCCTTCACTTTGATTAGAATGTGTGAATAAAGTGACATGAGAAATCTGATAATCAAAATTAGCTAGTTATGCATCCATATTCTTAGCATGTTGCTGGTTTCGTTGATGGGTGTAGCGGTCTGAAACCTCTAATTTCTCACAAAAATTCAACGATTTTGTAGTCTTTCTTTCTCTTTTGGGTTATCAGTAATTTTATTATTTTTTAAATTAAATTATGTGCTTGATAAAGGGGTTCCCCATTCATGGGAGGATTTGTTCTTTCTCTCAGAATCCAGAAAAGCTTCATTGCCGGCTGCTTCACAATGCTGCCTCGAATTGCCCCTCGGGGACTAATACAGTTGTCTTGAGTCTTGAAAAGCTGTTTAACCTGTAGGTATTGTATATAGCTGAGACTTTTAAATGCGGTGGGCCAATGCCTATCAGTGACACTTAGCTGCTCAAGCTAATTTGAATGAAAACTTTGGAATTGTTTCAAATAAAGTATATGACCCAATCTGTCCCCCCTGTTCATCTTGTTATAGGTTACTCATTGGGTTCAGTCATTTCATCAAATGGATCTCAGCTTTATGTGTCTGGAGCTCCAAGGTTCAACCACACAGGCAAGGTCATCATCTTCACTATAAAGGAGACTGGAAACCTAATCATCATGCAATCACTGCTGGGAGATCAGGTCTCTCACACACACATAAACAGGATAATCAGCTCTTTTGTGCGTTTGAACTGTGTTTTTGTCCGTAATCTATTTTTTGCTCTTCTCTTACACAGTTTAGTAAGAGCTATTTGTTTACCATACATGTTTCAGCTAGTAGCTCTAGCCATCAAAAGAGATCATGGGTGATGGTGGAGGGCGACACCATCCTCTGCTGCCTGCGGATAAAAGAAAGTGACGCCACCATCACCAGCAATCTCTGAGAATGGCAAGAGTTACTAGCTGAAACATGTAAGGTAAACAAAGGACTTTTACTAAACCGTGTAAGAAAAGAACAAAAAATGGATTGAGGATTATCAGCTATTGTACAGATCAAAAATCTAAAATTCAATTTTGCTTGTTCCACAGATTGGCTCGTATTTTGGGAGTGAAGTGTTATCACTGGACCTAGACATTGATGGATACACTGACTTTCTCATGGTAGCAGCACCCATGTACTACAGTGAAGGCTGGGAGAGGGGAAGGGTCTACATGTTTGCCCTTAAGTCACAGGTACACAGCCCTCTGGTTTCTCAGGGTGGACCATCCAGCAAAAACAGCTTCACATAACCATGCACTGACTGCTATTTGTGTATCTGAGACAACCTTTTACTGTAAAAGTACAGATGTTGGTTGTCTTTAATTGCAAAAAACATACACTACCGGTCAAAAGTTTTAGAACGCCCCAATTTTTCCTATTTTTTTGTGCAGTTTAAGTCATTCAAGTTCAATGACTACCTTGAAATGGTACAAAGTTTAACTGGTGAACTGCCAGAGGTAAAAAAAAAAAAAAAGGTAAGGTTACTCAAAACTGAAAAACAATGTACATTTCAGAATCATACAAAAAGGCCTTTTCAGGAACACAGCTGTTCCGCAGCAATGGAGGTTGGTCAAGCCTTGAAAGCTGGTGCTACTAATTCCCACAGGTGCTCCAACTTTTCTGGATTACTTACAACCCCCTCTGTGCATAAAAGCAGTGTTCCAACATACTGTGGTACCATACCCGTGTGAGCATCAGTTGAACAGTATTGTACTGCAGATAATAGTGTGTTGCTACAAAAATGGCAAAACAAAGGCAATTAACAATGGAAGAGAGACAGACCATCATAACACTTAAAAATGTAGGTCTTTCCTACAGAGAAATTACAAAGAAAGTCAAGGTGTCAGTGAGTACAGTTTCCTTCATCATCAAAAGGAACTCTGGGGCAAACTCTGACAGGAAGAGGTCTGGCAGACCCAAAGCCCCAACTGCATCAGAGGACAAGTTTCTGAGAGTTAGCAGCTTGAGTGATAGGGGGCTCACAGGACCACAGCTTCAAGCACAGCTTAATAGTGGTCGTAGTAAGCAAGTCTCAGTTTCAACTGTGAAGACTTTGAGCTGCAGGTTTGACAGGACGAGTTGCAGCAAGAAAGCCACTGCTAAGACATCAGAATAAGAGAAAGAGGCTTGCCTGGGCCATGAAACACTGCCATTGGACGACTGAAGACTGGAAGAAGGTATTATGTACTGATGTATCCAAATTTGAAATCTTCGGTTCATCATGCAGGATTTTTGTACACCATTGAGTAGGTGAAAGGACGATTCCACAGTTTGTTGCATCAACTGTCAAACATGGAGGAGGAAGTGTGATGGTCTGGGGCTGTTTTGCTGGATCCAGGGTTGGTGACTTGTACAGAGTGAGAGGCACCCTGAACCAAGGCAGCTACCACAGCATTCTCCAGTGTGATGCAGTACTCTCTGGTATGCACCTAGTTGGTTAGGGGTTCATCCCACAGCAAGATAATGACCCCAAACATAAGTCCAAGCTATGGCAGAACTACCTCAGGAAAAAAGAACAAGATGGTAAGCTTGAAAACATGGAGTGGTCAGCACAGTCTCCAGACTTAAACCCCATCGAGCAGGTTTGGGATGAATTGGACAGAAGAGTGAAACCAAAGCAACCTACAAGTGCAAAACATTTATGGGAACTTCTGCAACAGATGTGGGAAGAACTTTCTGAAGAATATTTGATTTCTGTTGTAGAAAGAATGCCACGAGTGTGTTCAGCTGTTATATCTGCCAAAGGTGGCTACTTTGATGAATCAAAAGTGTAGAACACATTTTGGTCTGTAAATTGATTCCATGATTTTTTTTTTACGTACATTGCTTATTTGTACTATGCTTTCATTTCAGAGTGCAATGTGACATTAAACTACATTATTTCCAATTAAAAAACTGGAAAAATCAGGGCGTTCTAAAAATTTTGACCAGTTTTGTAACCCCCCACCCCACCCCCCACCCCCCTCCTCCTCCAAATTTTTTTTCCCAGGCCTCCTTCATGCTGCATGGGGTACTTGAAGTCTCTAGCTGCTCCCAGAACTCCCGTCTGGGTTCAGCGATGGCCCAGATAGCTGACATGAATGGAGATGGGCTTCAAGAGTTGGCGATTGGAGCACCACTGGAGGATGACCATCAGGGGGCAGTCTACATCTTTCATAGCAAAGACAAAACAATTGAGCTACGTTACAAACAGGTGATTAGTCCATAAAAATCACATTAGTACCTTGACTCATTATTGCAACATAAACAACAGGAGCTGACAATGACAGCTAAGGGTTGGTTTATGCTTGACGCATTCACTTTCCGCGCGGTGATGCGGCTCGCGGATGGAACGCGCTTCACAACTCGCAGCGTTTATGGTTCGTGCGACTTGTCTCTGCGGTGAGCCAATATTCTCCCGAACTGAACGGGGCAGCATGGAGCTCTACGGCATGCACCCAAAACTACACCGTACTAGAAGTAGAAATGACTGTTTACAACATTCCAGCATTTTTAACAGCGTCCTCGTCTTTTCCGACAGTGCAAGCTATTTCTCTCCAAGAATGATTAACAACATGTTGATCACGGTGATCTCTGAGAGCTGAATCATACACGTCTGTATTTACGAACCTCTGCCACACTAGTTCTTGCCGGTCCGCCATGTTTTTCCGCGTACGTCCGTTCGCGTGGTTAGAAATTTTCCGAGGTGCGCGTTGCGGAAATCTTGGGCCGTGCGGAGACGCGGTGGAGGGGCGTGGTTGTTAAAATGACGCAAAATGACGCAACTTTTCCGCGCGGAGCCGTGCGGACCTCGCGGACGCGTCAAGCATAAACCAACCTTAAGCCCTCTCTTTCTGTTTGCTAATGAGCAACAGTAACATGCACGGTTATGCAGCAGCTTGTTTCTAAAACCCTTGTCAGATTGACATTCTGGAATATGTGTGGACAATTCAGTCCGTTTTTAACCAGAACTGTGTTTTCAGACACACCACTTTTGTACCGGAACTTGTCCTTTTGGCTGCCTTCACACAGCAGGGAAAAGTTCCAGATGTCTGGGGGGGACATAGTCCGGCGGGTGTACAATGCGTCATTTACCCAAACAAAGCCATTCAGTCAAACATGGAAACATGGCAGACGAAGAGATAGAATTCCTCTCACTGATCAGACTTATGTTAAGCATAATTCTGCGCACACGAAGATGTATAAGAGACCTGGATGATGAAGCTCAATGGTTAAAAGGAATCACGGAAGCGGTGTGATGCACTCCGTCGCGCGTCTAAGAGACAGTACCGTAGGAGGCGAGCTGCCATGGTTCGCCGCATGCTACAGGAGCGAGCTATCTAGGTGCGCACAGCGTCCCCCGGTCCCCCTCCTCCTCCCCCTCCTCCCTGTCCGGATCTCGACCTCACCAGTCTGAAGCAGCCACCCTGTCCGTGACAGAAGCTCCAGGCCACAATCCACCTACCAGCCACTGGGTGAGCCAGAAGCTCCAGGCCACAATCCACCTACCAGCCACTGGGTGAGCCAGAAGCTCCAGGCCACAATCCACCTACCAGCCACTGGGTGAGCCAGAAGCTCCTTTCCACAATCCATCTACCAGCCACTGGGTGAGCCAGAAGCTCCAGGCCACAGTCCAGCTACCAGCCACTGGGTGAGTCAGAAGCTCCAGGCCAAAATCCACCTACCAGCCACTGGGTGAGCCAGAAGCTCCAGGCCACAATCCAGCTACCAGCCACTTGGTGAGCCAGAAGCTCCAGGCCACAATCCACCTACCAGCCACTGGGTGAGCCAGAAGCTCCAGGCCACAATCCACCTACCAGCCACTGGGTGAGCCAGAAGCTCCTTTCCACAATCCATCTACCAGCCACTGGGTGAGCCAGAAGCTCCAGGCCACAGTCCAGCTACCAGCCACTGGGTGAGCCAGAAGCTCCTTTCCACAATCCATCTACCAGCCACTTGGTGAGCCAGAAGCTCCAGGCCACAATCCACCTACCAGCCACTGTGTGGGCAAGAGGTTTTTTGGGCTATACCAGGTGCCAGCTTGATCCAACATGGGGCCAAAGAAAGGAATCACAGCTGAAGAAGGAGATGACATTAAAAAATCCCTGGAATTTATGACAGAGGAAATTTCTACTATCAGAAAGCAGCAGATTACCATTTTGAACTTAGTGGAGGAAGTAAAGACTCTCCGCCTGCAGAATGCTGAAAAAGACAAGCGTCTGTTGTTGTTAGAGACAAAAGTGGCGGAATTGGAGCAGTACACTAGACTAAATGATGTCATTGTCAGCGGTTTACGGATTAAACCCCAAACATACGCCCGAGCAGTAGCTAATACCAATAATGGTCAACAGCCTGATGAGGAAGAAAGTACTTCTGTGGAACAACAGGTGGTAACCTTCCTCAAGACGATGGCTGTTGAAGTGGACTCTTGTAACATTGAAGCATGTCACCTGCTGTCTCGAAGGAGTAACAGTGAAAAACAAGCTGTGATCATAAGATTTGCCAATAGGAAGCACAAAATGGCTCTCATCAAACAAGGTAAAAAGCTGAAAGGAACCAATGTCTACATGAACGATCATCTCACAAAACAGAACGCAGATATTGCAAGAAAGGCTAGATACCTCAAAAAAGAAGGAAAAATTCAACATACATGGACTTCAAACTGTAAAATATATATCAAACTGAAGGGAACTCCTGAACAAGCGAAGGTGTTGCATATCAGGAATATGGAGGAGTTGGACAAGTATTAAACCAATGGAGGTATGATGACATACAAACTGAGATAAATCTTATGGTGGACTCACAATCAACTGATTCAATAGTTACTAATTCTGATCATGTTAATCTGGCTAGTCAGGATACAGATTTTGAGATTTTTCAGTACACTGAATACAATTTTATGGACATGGAAAGTGACTTGGATCCGGAAAATAATTTTCTTTCAAGGATCTCTTGTTGTAGCAAGTATTACACAGATGATCAGTTTAACAAGCTTATAAAGGCTGAGGACAAGTTTTCCATATTTCATTTTAATAGTAGGAGTATTTATGCAAATTTTAATAGAATTAAAGAATATTTGGATGACATCAATGGCACATTTAGCGTAATAGCAATATCAGAAACATGGCGGAAGGATGATTGTGACCTTAGCTTTGAATTGGATGGCTATGAAGCCAATTATATTAATAGACAAAATAAGAGTGGAGGAGGTGTTGCACTATATGTTGATAAGAATTTAAATTACAAAGTTGTAAAAAAAATGTCATTTTCAGTTGATAATTTATTAGAGTGTATATCTATAGAAATAGCAAAGTCTAACATGAAAAACATTGTTGTCAGTTGTGTATACAGGGCACCTGGGTCTGATATGCATGCCTTTTTAAAATGGTTTGAGGGAACCTATTCAACACTTCAGAAGACAATCTTCATTTGTGGTGACTTTAACATTGATCTCCTAAATCCTAACAAATTGAAGCAAATAGATGAATTTATTAATACAGCATATAGTTTAAGCCTTTACCCGACAATTACTAAACCAACTAGAGTAACTTCACACTGTGCAACATTAATTGATAATATACTAACAAATAACATAGAGAATAATATAATAAGTGGTCTCTTAGTTAATGATATTACTGACCACTTACCCATTTTTATAATTTATGATGATAATTATAGGAATAATAATCCAGGTAATAGTATAAGGTACAGACGCATACGAACAGTTAATACAACTAATGCCTTCAAGAACGAATTGATAAGACAGACATGGGAGGAAGTGTACCAGCAAACTGATGTTGACAAGGCTTATGAGACCTTTGTAAGAATATTTATTTCATTGTATGATAAGAATTGTCCCTTAACAAAATGTAGTAGCTCAAACACAAGGGATAATCAACCGTGGATGACGAAGGGGATAAAGTGTGCCTGCAAAAAGAAAAATAATTTGTACAGGTTGTTTATAAATAAAAAAACTCCAGAAGCTGAACATAAATATAAAATATATAAGAATAAGCTTACCAATATAATAAGAAAATGTAAAAAGGAGTATTATTATAAAAGTTTGAATAATGCTAAACATATTAGAGAAGTGTGGAAAATATTAAATAATGTAGTTCGACCAAATTTAGGTAATGATAAATTTCCGAAATATTTTGTTGAAAACAGTATTGTAAAACATGATTATGGTGATGTGGCTGATAGCTTTAATAAATTCTTTGTAAATATAGGGCCGTCATTGGCAGAAAACATATCTAGCTCTTCAACATCACATACACCATTCTTAAAACAAATCAAACCTAATCCTCATTCCATGTTTCTTTCAGCTGTAGAGGAACAAGAAATAATACAAATTGTAAAAACATGTAAAGGTAAAACATCAACTGACAGTTATGGCATTGACATGATGACGGTAAAAAAGGTGAGAGAAGGAATTTCAAAACCACTTGCATATATTTGTAATTTGTCTTTTCAATCAGGTGTATTCCCAAAATTAATGAAAGTTGCAAAAGTTAAACCAATATATAAAACTGGGGATAAGCATCAATTTACGAACTACAGGCCAATTTCATTGCTTCCACAATTTTCCAAGATTCTTGAAAAATTATTTAATAATCGACTCGAAATATTTTTGGATAAATACAAGATAATTTCAGACTGTCAGTATGGATTTAGACTGAATAGTTCAACATCACTAGCTCTGGTGCATTCTGTGGAAGAAATTGCAACGTCAATTGATCAGAAGAAACATGTTCTAGGGATATTTATTGATTTAAAAAAGGCTTTTGATACAGTTAATCATAAAATGTTACTTGAAAAGGTAGAGAGGTATGGGATTAGGGGTGTAGTGTTGAGCTGGTTGACAAGCTATCTACAACAGAGAAGACAGTTTGTGAAATTTGGAGAATGTTCATCTACATGGTTGGACATTGTTTGTGGAGTACCACAGGGGTCTGTGTTGGGTCCAAAATTATTTTTATTATATATTAATGATTTGAGTAATGTAACAAATACACTGACATTTGTTTTGTTTGCCGATGATACCACTATTTTCTGTGCAGGAGATAATATTAGCGAGTTAGAAAGGATGGTCCAAATTGAAATGTGCGTCATTAAAGAGTGGTTTATTGAAAATAAGCTTGCATTAAATATAGCAAAAACAAAATGTATGTTGTTTGGTATGGCTAATAAAACTGAGGTTAAGCTGCAAATAGATGGATGTGAAATTGAGCAAGTAACAGAACATAAGTTCCTTGGAATAGTAATTGATAATAAATTAAGTTGGAAACCACAAATTAAACATGTATATAATAAGGTTGCGAGAAGCATCTACATTATGAATAAAGCTCGGCAGTACTTGGATTATATATCACTCCATGTCCTTTATTATTCATTGATTTATCCCTATCTTATTTACTGTGTAGAGGTATGGGGTAACACTTATAAAACATCTATTGTACCCTTGTCTATCATACAGAAAAGAGCCCTGAGAGTCGTTCACAATGTTAGATTTAGAGAACACACTAATCCGTTATTTATATATTCTAAAATACTAAAATTTAAAGATTTAATTCAGCTATATACAGCGACATTCATGTTTAAAGTGCATAGGAAATTATTACCACACAAATTATTAATGCTATTTATAAAACCAGATAACCTATATAATTTCAGATACAAACTTAACTTTAGGCATACATATTTTAGAACAACAATAAAGACATTTTGTATTTCTGTTACGGGTGTAAGAGTTTGGAATAAGCTAAGTGAGGATCTAAAGCAAAGTCCCTCATTGCATAAGTTTAAAGAGAAGTATAAAAAAATTATACTAATCAATTACATGGAGGAGGAGGAAAAGTTGTAAGGGTGTTGCATTTGATTGTAATTGTCTATTGTTGGTGAACTGGGAGCTGTGAACATGGCGGGGGGGGGGGGGGGGGGGGTTGAAACATGAGAAAATGTAAATTTGGTTTGTGTGATTGAGGATAAAACATGTTATAGGAAAATGGCAATGACAGTCAGTGTAGGGAAAATATATATATTTTTTTGTTTTGTCTTTCTTGAAATTTGATTTGGGGGGGATTATATAAGCTACCAGAGCTTCGTTCCCTTCCCATTGAACATGTTCTACATGTGTATGTGTATGTGTATGTATATATATATATGTATATATATATATGTATATATATATATATATGTATGTATATATGTATGTATGTGTGTATGTGTATATATGCATATACATATGTGTGGGTTTCTTTTTGGATACTTTTTGAATGCTTTGGGTTGTCTATTGATTTGCATGCATGTTCAATAAAGAAAGAAAGAAAGAAAGAAAGTCCGGACCTGTTACTAGGGGCGTCATCCGGTTTAATTACGGAAAAGGTTATCCGGATGTTTGTATTCAGACACAAAGGTCTTACGGACAGAGTCCTGAACATTTCCGTTTTTCATGGCCTGCCTGCAGGGGGCTCAAGAGAGCTGCTCCCACAGAATCACACAGGGTGAAAGGGGTCATCCAAAACATCCCCCTCTCACCCACACCACCTGTGGGGCTCAGAGAGCAGCACTTTCTAGGGTTCTACAACCCCCAAAGCATCTTACAACACAGTCATTCACACACAGGTGGTGATGAGCTACACAGTAGCCACAGCTGCTCTGGGGCGCATTGACAGAAGCAAGGCTGCTGAACACTGGTACCGCCGATCCTTCTGACCACCACCTGCAGGCAAGGTGGATTAAACGACTGACTGAGCGGAGCACAAACCTGCTATCCTCTGGTTGTGGGGCGGTTTTGTCCAACAGCACCATCTAGAGGCTGAAAAATATACTGGCCTTAAGCCTCTTTTCTTACTTCCGTGATTCATGTTTTAGTCTGATTCTTGTTTGATGATTGTTTTTGCTAAGGGCCTTATCATCTTCTGATATATCCTAATGTTTTCTCTTCCTTGCCTTACTCAGCCAGCTTTTTCCTGTCGTAGTTTAGATTTGTGTACATCACAAAAGCAGCCCAACAAAGAAGTAATGATGGAAATACTTTTACTTCTACAGCGTCTGTCTGCAGCGGGCCTATCTACAGGTCTACAGTACTTTGGTCAAAGCCTTCATGGAGTTCTTGACATCAATGCTGATGGGCTTGTTGATCTTGCAGTGGGAGCACTGGGAGCTGCAGTCATTATCTGGTAAAATAATATGTTGATGTCAGTGTTTGAATGGATGAATCCTGTCGACTGTTTTCCACCAAACTGGTTACACTTAAAGCTTCTTTCCGGAGTATTTCTCCTATCTGATGGCACCATCTAGTGGCTGACAAGCATATCACCCAAAAAGTCTATTCCTCTGTTTAAGATGGCGACTTCACGTTTCTGTTTATAAATGTGCTTCTTAGCCGACAAAAGGAACTAAAACACGTTGTTTAATGAGGATTATTCTCATGTCATGTTGTGTTTTCATATATTTATATTTTGGAGACTTACTTGTCCGTGAAAAGTTCATCAACTGCATCAGCCGAGGTACTTCCTTAAATTTGAAGCAAGTAGGCAGTAGCCTTAAGCTATTGGTTAGTTCTGGTTGGCGCTAGGTTTCCAATTGCATGGAGCTCTGCAGGGCAGGAGGCGTGTTTAGCAAAAAATAAATAAAAGAGGTATTGCTTACATTTTATCACAGTACATGATGAGACAATCACTTTTACTGATTTCTGACAAATCATACATAATTTCTGAAAGGGGAAAACTCCAGAAAGCAGCTTTAACCAACACACACACACACACACACACACACACACACACACACACACACACACACCTGCAGAAAAACATAGTTTCCATAATTTTAAATCCATCTTTTACAGCAAAAGAGGGATTTAATAAATGTGAATACAAACAAATATGTATAATTCAAAGGTACAAAGGTATACAATAGCATTGTACACTACTGCAAACACTAGGTCATTGTTAGGGATTTTATCAATCACCTAATACCAGCAGTCAAAGAGAAAAGAGAGACAATTAAATAGACAAGTTACTGTTTGCAAAAAGGACAGAAGCTCAAGCAATGGTTGAGGCTTACAACTGCAAAGAACATCTGCCCTTCAAGTTCATGAGATAAGACAGGGACAGAAGGCATGTGTGTGGAAATGAATGTGTGTGTGTGAATGGTTACAGGAATGTGTGGGTGTGTTTGAATGAATGAGAATGCTTTCAGGCATAAAGTAATACATTCAGTTGATAGGATTAATGATCAAGAAATAATAAAACGGGGCTGCGCAGTGGTTAGAGCTGTTGCCTTGTAGCAAGAAGGTCCTGGGTTCGCTTCCCAGCCTGGGATCTTTCTGCATGGAGTTTGCATGTTCTCCCTGTGCATGCGTGGGTTCTCTCCAGGTACTCTGGCTTCCTCCCACAGTCCAAAAACATGACTGTTAGGTTGATTGGTCTGTCTAAATTGTCCTTAGGTGTGTGTGTGTGTGCATGATTGTTTGTCCTGTGTGTCTCTGTGTTGCCCTGCGATGGACTGGCTCTCTGTCCAGGGTGTACCCCACCTGATTGCCCATTGACCGCTGGAGATAGGCACGCACGCACACACACACACACACACACACACACACACACACACACACACACACACACACACACACACACACACACACACACACACACACACACACAGTGTGTGAACAGAGGAGGAGCAGACAGCACACAAATTTCGTGAACGATCCACTTCGCAGCTGGTGTGTTCTGCTTACATTTAGCTTCCATTGCTATTGACTGAAAATGGCGGTTTTACCCTGCTTCTCTAGCTTTGGTACTCCTGATTGTGTCACAGTGTGGGCAGGATAAAAAACCTGTTATTGGAAAGCACCCGCTCTGGCCCAGCTGCTGGGTTAAGCACAACCGAGACTCTGCATGGCCTTTACAAATGCAGTTAACGAGTAATGTCATTTTCAGTACCTTCGTACAATGTCTTAGCCAGATTTGGCATGCTGTTGGACTTCAGCCACCCCAGAGGAGAATACTTTGATAATTCTGATAATCCAAAATGTCAACTCTAGAAAATGTTAAGGATAACCCCAGGATCCATCTGTCCAGGTCTCGAAGTGTGGTGCAGATTAAGGCCAAACTGACCTTTGAACCTGAGAAAATCAACCTCTTTAACAAGGATTGCCAGCGAGGAGGAAAGGAGGTCACCTGCATGTCTGTCACTATCTGTTTGAGTCTGGAGAGCAAGATAAAAACCACGACCAGAACCGATGTCGGTAAGTAACTTCATTAATTCAGCTCACCATAAAAACATCAGGACACTTCCCAGACATCTGTGACCCAACCAGTTCAGTGGAGATTAGCTACAAAGTGCCTCTTCACCACAAGAGTCATCACCAAGTTATAAGTTCATATCAGGTGTTGTTTGAAAGATTATGTATTTCAGTTGTGATCAATGAAAATCACTTGATTTTAAATGCAATTAAGTTGAATTTGCCAGATAAAAAAGAACCGGCAGACTGAGTTGAATCTTCTGGATCCTACGTCCCATGAACCCCTATAGATCTGTCGTCATCGTTCCGGAGCCACAAACATTGGAAGACCAGCAGATGTTCCTGTTAAAAAAGAAAAAATGGATTACTTTAAGCAGAGCAGAGGCTCCTTTACATTAGTATGAGATGTCTCACTTGAACATGTTCAGTTCACTAAAAAGTGACGACAAATAAATTCAGCCTAAATCTTACCCTCACCCTGCAGAAAAGCAAACAAAGCAAGAACATGCTGTGGGTTTGAGTGAGTGTGACTGTTTCTTTAATGTGTCTCTGTGATGGTATGGAGACCTGTCCAGGGAGTCTCCCACCTCTTGTCGGATGACTGAGATAGACACCAGCTGTCCGTGACCCTAGAGAGGAAAAGCTGTTTGGATAAAGAATGAAAGTAGCTGGTGGCTGATAAACATGTACAGTCAGGATGGCTCAGAGTGTAATCAACTTAAACCAGACTGAGGAATCTGCTCTCGACCCTAACTCACCTTCTTCTCCTCCTCATCGCCCAGCTGTTTGGTATCGTCTAATATTTGATGAGAGGCGTGTTCCTCCTCGGGCAGTCCTGGATGAACCCCACCAACAGCAGCCAAGAAGACTTTTCATACAGACTGGAGGTCAGAAATGTGAACGCCTCAACTTCTTTGTCCAGGTCAGAACAGTAACCACATCATAAAAGCTCAAACACAACACACTTAGACACACACAAGCTCCAATTTCTCCTATGCAAATACGATGTGCTTATTTTTTCTCTCTTTGTCATTGTGTGTGTGTGTGTGTGTGTGTGTGTGTGTGTGTGTGTGTGTGTGTGTGTGTGTGTGTGTGTGTGTGTGTGTGTGTGTGTGTGTGTACATGTGTGTGTGCGTTCGTGTGTTTGCGTGTATCACACCAACAGGAAACAGCAGATTTCTGGAGTCCTGTAGTGGTTTTCACAGAGGCTGGGTTGCTGAGCCAAGACAAGGGACCGGTGATGGACCCAGACTCACCAAACATCACAAGATCTGAAGTGAGAGTTTTATTTACACATGTACTAATCAAAGTCTGTATCAAATTGCAGAATTCTTGCTTCTGTACTCTTATTTGTTCCATGTTACTGTGAGCCAAAGTCTCGTTTGCATCCAGATCCTTAATAACAAGCATGGCAAATTGTTCTGCGAAATATTGTAAACGTTTGTGACATGAAAATAAATTAGATAGGATTTTATAAAAAGGTAAGTGACTACATAAGCAACTCAAAACAAAAATGTAAACAACCTCATATTAGTAAAATGCACAGGGATTGCAGTAATTGGGAGGTTGTAGGTACAATCCCAGTTCTGACTAGAGAATGCTGCTGTTGTGTTTTTGGGAGAGGCATGCTGGTGGTGGTCAGAGGGGCCAATGGTGCCAGTGTTTGGCAGGCCACACCTCTGTCAGTGCACCCCAGGGCAGCTGTCTCTACATTGTAGCTCATCCCCACCAGTGTGTGAATGGGTGAATGATTGATTGTGTTTAAAAAAGAAGGTAATTAAGGACAGGAATTTGGCTCCCTGGTTTAATTCTGAACTGCATACTTTAAAGCAAAACTCTAGAAAGTTGGAGAGAACATGGCGCTCTACACACCAGGAGGACTCCTACATATCCTGGAAAAATAGTCTTGTGCTTTATACAAATAAGCTTTGAAAAGCTAGAACCACATTTTTTTTCATCGTTAATTGAGGAGAATCAATCAATCAATCAAAGATACTTTATTAATCCCAGAGGGAAAATAGAGGTTCAGTACACACAATTCAGAGATCAGACATGCATGGGCAAGACACATGACAACAATTGGTGACTGTGGTCATTCACAGCCCTGAGTCGCGCTACCTTAATAAAGATAAGAGGGTAACATGAGGATTGGTTCAGGTGGAGGGGAAAAAAAGGCACTTCAGAGTTACCCTCCACCAGGAGGGCAGCTTTGCTATGGAAAAAAACACCTCAGACAGACAGATATGCAACAGACTTCAGTCAACAAAACATAAGTGTCCACTAGGTGGGGTGGTGGGTTAGGGCTATCCTTTCTTCAGTTCCAGCAGCCACTACAAGCAGCGCATGTCACCTCAGTGTGGATAGGGGGAGGAGCATTGAGGGTTGGAGGATTGCAGTGACCCTGGAACATTTCAGCGACCTTCCCGCAGTCTCACCCAGGCTGGGAAAGAAGACAGAGTTGAGTTGCCATAGCGACGGCACATTCCACTTATCTTCTGACGGGGGAGTTTTCGTTGGAGCCTTGCATGCTCAAGGGCGCCAGATTCCGATTAGAAATTGTTTTGGGGCCAGACAGAGATAATTTCCTCTCTGTCTTACAATTTGTTGGTCCTCAACCTCTCAAAATCCCATTAATGGACATTAATCTATCCCAGTCCGTGCTGATTCGTCCACTCTCTCCTTGATGGCATCCATCTTTTGTGCCAATAATGAATCTCGGCCAAAGTTCCAAGCTTACGATTCATCTCGAAACTTATGTGAGTCTGTGAATTCACAGCACGGTGCAATCCATCTCTGAGCTCCGGGATCAGGCCAATATTCCTCGACATCTTGTTAATTTTCCGGTAAGCCAGGTAGCCTCCAAGGCCAATGAGCAGGAAACCTGACACCAACACCACAAATATCCACATGTCTTCAGAGTCCTCCACAGACAGCTGAGATAAACAAATCAAGTTCCACTGTTTCCAGGAATCCATGATGTGTTCAACTGGGTCTGTCGCGGAGGGGCATCCAGAAGCCCCTCCCGTTCTCATTGTTGAAAAAATGTTATCAATCGTGTTGAGAGACCAACTGACGAGATTCATTTTAGTGAATTTCAGTTTCCAGTTTCCATAAAAAAAATGCAAAAGCAGTCGTGCACCCAGCACACAGAGACAAAGAGCCTTGAGGATAAGATATGGAGGAGAGGAGGAAAAAAGCATCTGCACCCTCCAAGAGCCAGAAGAAGAAAAATCCTAAGAATAATCCTAAATTTATTTTTAGTACAGTTGCCAAACTTGCACAGAATCATAGCTCTGAACTATCTATTCCCTTAGCCTTAAGCAGCAACAACTTTATGGGATGTTTCATGAGTAAAATTAATTCTATTAGAAACAAAGTCATTAGCATCCTCCCTAATGCGATTTCTTTTTCCTCAGTAAAAGTGAGGCAGCATCAGAGGTAACTGTAGAACCTCATCTTTGTTTGAACCAGCTGCATTGCCCCTGGGCGGGTCTGGGTGGGGGCCTGGGAGCTCAGGGTGTTGGGGTGGCCGGCCCCGTGTGGAGATCTGGGCGGGGCCTTGGGGGTCGGGTCCCTCCACCCCAGGAGGGGATGTGAGTAAGGTTCTGGTGGTCCAACCAGATCGTGAAAGGCTGGGTGGTGCCCTGAAGCCACTGTTTCCATTCTTCCAGCGCCCATTTTATGGCCAGCAGTTCACGATCGCCCACGCCATACTTCTGCTGAGTGGTGGAAAACTTCCTAGAGAAGTAGGCGCAGGGATGGAGTCTGTCATCGGGCTCGCCTTGGGACAGGATTGCCCCTGCGCCGACGTCAGAGGCATCAACCTCGACCTCAAAGGGTACAGTATTATCTGGATGGCAGAGGACGGGGGCAGACGTGAACCAGGTGACCAGATGGCAGAAGGCCCGAATGGCGTCTGGCATTAGACGGAACGGTTGGCCAGGTGTGCTTGGTCGGGTGAGTGAGGTGAGAGGCGCAACAATGGTGTTGAAGTTCCTTATAAAACAGCGGTAAAAGTAGCAGAAACCCAGAAAACTCTGTAGTTGTTTCAGGCTTGTCGGAAGGGGCCAGTCAGCAACCGCCTGGACCTTCTGAGGGTCCATGGTTATGCCCTGATCCAATATCATGAAGCCCTGGAATGAGATGGTCCGCTGGTGGAAGGAGCATTTCTCGGGCTTACAGAACAGGTTATTTTCTAGGAGCCGGGTCAGGACGGCACGAACGTGGTGGAGGTGTTCGCCCTCGGTCTTGGAATAAATTTGGATGTCATCCAGGTAGGCAAACACCCACCGGCCCAGCGTGTCGCAGAGGACATCATTAATGAGGCGTTGAAAAACGGCAGGGCTGTTACACAGCCCGAAGGGCATGACCTGGTATGACCCAATGGCCAGTGGGTGTGATGAACGTGGTCTTCCACTCATCCTCTGCTTTGATGCGGACCAGGTTGTAGGTGCTCCGGAGGTCCAGTTTGGTGAAGATCTGCGCTTGGGAGATGGAGTCCAGAGCAGTCGTGAGGAGTGGCAGGGGTGACGGTCCTGGATGGTGATCTTATTAAGACCCCAGTAATCTATACAGGGACGAAGGTCACCCTCCTTCTTCTTCACAAAGAAGAAGCCTGCAGCATCCGGGGAAGAGGAGGGTAGGATGAAGCCCTGCTGGAGGGCCTGGTTGATGTACTCATCCATAACTCTGGATTCGGAGGGGGAGAGAGAGAAAAGGCGCCCTCTGGGAGGGCTGATTCCTGGTTGCAGCTTGATTTCCATATCATAAGGGTGGTGAGGCGGCAGTGTGGTAGTGTGCCGCTTGTCAAAGACTGCAGCAAGTTCTTGATAGGGCAGCGGCAGATTGGGCGGTAAAGGTCCGAGTCCGCCAGTCGGGCGGTCCGCCATGGGTGGAGGAGAAGAGAGGTGGGCCTGGCACTGGGTCCCCCAGCCTAACAGACGGTTCTGGGACCAGGAGATCTGGGGGTCGTGGAGACAGAGCCAAGGGAACCCCAGGATAAGAGGAGAGGAGGGAGCGGAGATGATCAGGAAATAGAAGGTCTCCTGGTGGCCTTGGATGATCATCTGGAGTGACTGGGTTCGGTCTTAGACAGGATAGGGCTGGAGAGGTCAGCCGTCCACCGAGGTCACTGGAATAGCCTGTTCCAGGTGGGTCAGGGGGATCCGTAGGTGTTTGGCCAGATCCACATCAATGAAGTTGTCTGCGGCCCCCGAATCCACCAGAGCGTGCATGTAGTGTGAAGTCTCACCATGAAGGAGGGTGACGGGAAGGAGGAGTCAGTTAGGAGAGACAGGGGCAGAGGATGACCCAGACAGAGCTACCCCAATACTCAGTGGGTGCCTTCGTTTCCCGGCCGTAACTGGCAGTCCAGGCGGCGGTGGTCAGGGGAGCCACAATAGGCACAGAGACCCTCGCGCCACCGTCGCTCTCTCTCTCCCGGGGGGAGGTGGCCTAGCTGCATTGGCTCCTCGGTTGAGGTGTGTCCTGGGGCTGGCGTTAGTGAACGAGGCAGAGGTCCAGGAGTTCTGAGTGGGTGGGCGGAGGACCTGGGTCGAACCAGAACCCGCTGGTCGATGCGCAGCACAAGATCGGCTACTTCATCCAGGGTCTGGGGCAGTTCTCTTCCCGTCATCTCATCTCGGCTGTAGGGTGCTAGCCCCTCTAAGAAGACAACCCGAAGGGCAGAGTCATCCCATTGGAGTTTGGCAGCGATGGTGCGAAATTCTGACACATAGGTGCACATCTAGCATTCCCGTTGGTGGAGTTTTAGGAGACGTGCCTCAGCCCCCACCTCACTACTCGGTGGAACAAATGTCTTCCTGAGGGCGGCCACAAAAGCAGCATAGTCGTTGCAGGCAGGGGATTTAGAATTATGGAGAGCGGCGGCCCACTCCTGAGTGCATCCAGAGAGAAGTGAGGTGAGTTGCGCCACCCGAGAGCGGGCAGTGGGGTATTGTCCTGGTTGGCACTCATACTGCATGTCGAGGGAGGCGAGCAGGCCATCGTGGCTCCCATCCACCCCATTCCACTTCTCCGGAAGGCTGAGCTCCTTAGCCAGAGCGAGTGCTTGCTGCTGGAGAGCATTGAGGGATGTAGATAACTGAAGGGTGAGGTTGGTTAGAGAGTTCACCTTGGTGTAGAGCCGATCGACCAAAGCGTGGAGCTGCACAACCTCACTCTTTAAATGCTCAAACTCCGCGGGGTTAATGGACACAGTCAGACTGGCCGGCTGGATACAAGGAGTTGAGCTGTAGCAAGCGTGGCTTTACAGATGCGGAAGTGCTAATGTCGGCGATACACCGGCTCGCGGTTTGATCTAGGAATCCCCGAGCATAAATGAAGTGACACGGAGATGCTGGGTTTTCAAGAGGTAAGTAATAGCGCTTACTGAGTAGACAGTTCATCGGATGGATAGGTTGATTGGATACTCTGATCATGGATTTGAAGAAACGATGACTGAGTGGTGAGCTGGAGAGGCGACTTCCGTATGTAGTCGCGGTTAGTGACGTGGGTGTGACGTGGACGGAATCCCCGCGAGGAGCATGCTGGGAGTTGTGGTACAGGGTGGAGACTGGCTAGCTGGAAGAGGCTGGTTTGGGGACTTGGGCTCTGATAGGTTCTGAATGGATCAGAAAAAGGGAATGTGTCATGTGACTTCTTAACATTACGTGTGATCAGTCTCTAGTGGAAACATTTAAAGTTATATTACTTATTATAATCTACTAATCATAACATTGTCTTTTCACAGATTGGTTCATATTTTATTATTATTAATCTAACACTTTGTTTGATTAGTGAGTTCTTCTGATTTATTAAAAGAAAGAGTCCTTTGTCTTCATTCTTCTCTTGAGCTGGAAAGGAAGACACAGTTTAGGAGCAGAGCATGAGACCTTGAGCAATATCTCATGCAAATTAGTTCTGTGTCAGAAACTTCTGGTTTGCTTTGAGCAGAGCAAAACAGAGCAGGGCCTTTTAGGTCAGAAATGGACAATTCATCACGCTACAACGGTCTGAAGCTTTCTCTAGAACTGAGGAATCCCAGAGTGATCTGGTTTTAATGTTCTCATGTTATGATTTGTGTAGCCAACCAGAGGTTGACAAGTTTGAGGAATATTACCAAGAATCTCAGAAGCACGCACTCCTTGATACCGGACGCTTTGATCTGGGGAAAAGGGTTATTTATGTGTCATGAGTTTAACATTCATTTCAAACTTCAATCATTGAGCACAGATTAATGAAACATTTCATTATATTATAATTTTTATAAGTAGCAATAAACAAATGTTTATTTAATGATTATCTAGCTTATAAGTTGAAGAAGTTCATATCTGATTTAAGAAATCATTCTTTGATTTAGAAACTAATCTGGGCTGTGAGTGTTCCTTATATGGAGGCATGAAGAATCCTGAAAGATTGGACCTTGAGGAGAGAACTTTATTGTTGACAATTCGTTATCTGTGTTCAGAGCTGCAGATCAGTCCTGATCTAAAGCCCTGCAGATATATTTAGTTTCTATAAACACCAAAAACAAATAAATAACAGCAGCTGCATTCTACTTTGTTCCTTAAATTGAGAAACATAATTTTACAAGCTCTGCATGCTCACACATTCAACAGTGAGCTCCGCTAGCTGATTGCTTATTTTGGTAACTGGTGACATCAGTTCAGTTCTGGTACTTAAGCATGGGTGCATTAATGGGCTTTGCTTTAGTTGGTGTTCAAAATGGATTAAAGAAAGGACAAGAAAACATTGTTAGCTCAAATATATCATTATATTACATTCTTACCAGCCTGTAACTCAACTTTTTTTTAAATCAAAATGCACCACACTGATGCTTTTAAATATAAAATGCCCACATCCCCCCCCCCCACACACACGGTTTGATCTAGTAACACCAGAGCGCTCGGTTGGAATGGGAGCAGAGTGACGTTACCACAAAAGAATGAAAAATGACTTGCTAATCTGATTCTTGATTGATTATATCGGTTAGTAGAAGATCAGCAATGATTTGAGCTCTGAGTTTGACTCCAGAGAAACGATGAGCAGTGCGAATGGTGAGACGGAATTCCTTACACAGACTTGCGTGCATGGGTGCAACACCTGGTGGCACTCAATGCCCCGACAATGAGCCTGTTCTGGAGGTCACCTTTCCCCTGTAGAACCATCAATGGGATGAGATTTTCTTATGTACCATATGTGTTTTTTGATGCCATCAGCTGATGCTGCCTTGTGCAGGCCACAGGTTTTACTAACATCAAACACTGATCCCTGCATTGGTGTTCCATTGTAAACAAAACTTCAGGATAATACTAATAATAATCATATTAATAATAATAGCTACATACAGCTGCATAATGAAAACACAGTCATCCACCTTAACCAGGATCTTTAACCTGGTAAATATAGCATGTGCACATTCAATAACCAGAATAAATTTATGCTTAGCTGTTATTTTCTGAAAGTCTAAACTCATGTTCACTTCTGCAGCTTCACTTCTGGAAAGGATGTGAGCAGGAGGACAGCTGCACTCCTGACCTTGTCCTCAATAGTCACACTGATCTCATGAATGCTCAGTGAGTCACCTGCCTTTATCACTATTTAATGTGTGATGCTCTGATAAAATATTTAACTTGTTTGTGTCACCTGAAGGGACTTTTGCAGTGTGAGGGAACAGGCCGCCTCCACCTTCTGCAGCCTTCAGGTGGAACAGAAAAACCAGATGTTTGTTGTAGAACCTGACCGAAGGAGGATAATGGTGTTTGCTCGTCTGGAGAATCAGGGAGAAAATGCATACAGAGCTGCCATCCACATCTCCACCTCCCCTAACCTGCTCTTCTCCAGCTTCATAGTAAAGGTGCTCACAATGACCGATGTCAGGCTGGATCAGATGGTTTATGGTGACTTTGACTGAGACATCTCCTCAACCCATTCTACAGGACCATTCCGACCTCCAGATTAAGTGCTCTGCCGAGAACAGAACAGCCTCCGATAGGAGCTGTAGCATCAGCACTCCATTGATGAAGTCCTTGTCTCAGGTGGGTCAAGTGTGATGAGACTGAAGTCCAGAGTTTTGGTCATCCAACAGTTTTTTATTTTTGCTTTCAGATTCATTTATAAGTAATCTACATTATGTTAGAGAAATGGAAAATGCAGCATGTGACTCAAACTATCCTGAATAATAATAATCATTGTAGGGACTAAAGTTTGGAGGAAGGTTTAAGAGTCAGAGGTCATGAGCTGAAGCTGTTCTCGGCTCTGGTTCTGGTTCTGCTGCTGTGAACGTCCTCTGAGATCAACTCAACAACAGTACCATGTAAAATCCTGCTCTAACATCCGGAACATCATTTAGGGAGCTCAGGACACATGTTATTAAGCACCACTGTTGAGGACAAAGGTGGAAGTAGAGACACCATGGAACTTCTCAGACTTGGTTTGTCCATCTGGTAGCCCAAGACCCAGTTCCATTCCTAATGCTGTTTGTTTACTAGTTTCGGTGGACTGCAGCCACATGCAGTGTGTGTGTGTGTGTGTGTGTGTGTGGGGGGGGGGGGGGGGGGGGGGGGGGGGGGCACCTGCCCCTTTTGTCTGAAGTGCCCACACTGATGCTATGCAGAAAAAGCCCTAGGGCTCCAGGATGGATGGCGGATGACACATCACTGGTTTTTCCTGGTACATGTTGGTCCACTGTGAATGACATTGACCTTTGGGACACCTGAGATCAAGACAGATTGGGACTGTTGCAATTTAATATGATAGTATTATGAAAGCTCGCCTCCTTCTCTGTACAGGTAACTTTCTGTTTGGAGTTTGAGTTCAACCATTCCATTGTCCTAGACCATGCACAGGTTGTCATGGTAACCACCAGGTGAGTGAAATGACATATTCAGTGATACTCATGCTGCAGGATGTTGAAGTTGAATATTTAGCTTACCGAAATGGCAGAGTTTTAGGATTATTTAGAACATGTTGCTGCTGTAAATGGAACCTTTACTTACTGGAACACCTCTGTAAAAAGGCGGTAGTTTTTGGTAGAGAGGTTGCATTACTGAGTCAGTGTATGTGTGTACTAGTTTTGGATTGCATTAATTTTTCTTAAAAATCATAAACTGTTGTGTGAATGCTGTACAAACTCCAGCAGGTCTGGACATCGAGTCCACGTGTTTCCAAATAAGAAAATGGACGGTGTCTTCTGTTCCTGGTGCATTTTGTGCAGCTGAAAACACGGTGCGCCCTTCAGACTGAAGGATTACAATCCCATCGATGTGATGGGAGTTCAACATGCCTCCTTTCCTCCAGAGCCCCATGCTGGGGTTTCGAAAAATACTTGCCGGCTCTTAGAGCCCAGATCAGCATTGGAACCAGGTGAGGGAGGTCCGTGCTGAGCTCTGGAAATCGATGGAGAGCTTTGAAAAATTCCTAGCGAGCCGGGGATGCTGGTGTCTGGGTCAGAACTGGCTGAGAACTGCCAGCCCCGACATCCAAAAAAGGATGCAGTGCTTTTGAAACCCCCTAGAAGGCCAGGGAAGCTGGTTTCTGGGTCAGACCCAGATCCGAGCCGCCTACCCAGGCAACGACAGGTGTCTCTCCCTCTCTCTAAAGCACTAAGCTGCGTTACGTGAACAGATATTATCGAGTATGAAACAGCTGACACACTCTCATTATAGTTTATTGTCAAGAATCAATATTATATTAACTGACCAATAGTATTTTAATTGTATGGGACATGACAGTAATCTGTTAAAACATTGTGATGTTAGTGCACAAGCTAGCTAGCGTTGTTCACTCAGCGAGACACCTGCTCTCTCCACAGAACCTCCTGACACCACAGCTAAATCTCTCTCTTCTGGCCATCGTTTCACCCTCTGGCGTGTCTCTGCTCTATGGGGCGGTCAGCAGTCTCATAACTGTATGGTTGTGGTCACCATAAGTATAATTAAAAACATTTAAAATTTACTTCGTGTCAGAACCAACATTTAAATCCATGTTTTTCTGTTGATCAAGCTAACAGGGCTCCCTCTGTCTGGTTTGGCAGAAAAAAACATTTTTCTCACAAAATGACTCTCAAAGCCTAAATAATTTTTTAAGTGCACATTTTTATTTAGAACAAGTTCCTGTTATGTTTCCCTAAATATTTTTTCAAAGGAGGCACTAACCTACAATTTGCTTATCAGTACCTGTATAGTAATAAACGATTGGTTGTGTTGTGTTGAAAGAGGTGGGACAACTTATTTAACTAAAAGCAGACACAGAGGCCACACCCACAATTTCACACACAGGCATAAAAACCGGCTCTCAATATTACTGACAAAAGTGAAGTCATCACAGGCAGCTGAGCACAACTGCTATTGACTGATGACTTCAGTTTTCTAAATGATGACATTTAATTTGCAGCTTTTATTGTGATTGTAAAAACTATTATAAGACTCTTTTTCTCTTTCCAAGTCACTTTATGTGTTTTTACCAGTGATGGAGAGGAGGGATACCCGGATGACAACATAAACAACATCTCCCTGCCCTTAAATTATCAAACCGACTTCCTCTTCATCAGGTGGGCAAAAGACATGTTTTCATGTGTTGTCTTCATTCACTCATCTAGACGTGCTCACACTTTTCAGACCTGATGTTTAGCATAACTATAAGACATTTTTATAGTGCAACAACCTTGATTCTGATTCAGAGACAGACCAAAGCCTTAGAAAAAAAAGTTGCGACACGCAGTCACGTGGTTCATATAGCTCACACAGCTCAGTGCTGCTAGCCAATATGGACGGCTTCTGGCCAGAGTAGACACTAAATATGACCCTTTTCCCATTTCTACAGTGATCTGTTGGTGATTATTGACCAATAATGTTTATTGATTATTAGTCTGATTATGTATTTTATCAAAGCGTTTAACTTTCTGTAAAATCTACCAAATTCAGTATGTGATGGGTCTTTCTAACCAGCAGGGCCAGTATAGATAGACGGCTACAGCTTTTAAGCTTGACTCTCCCATTTTCCAGTTAGAATTGATAAAGCTCCTCGGATGAGAAGCGAAACTTCTACCAAAAACTAAAGATTCCAGTTGCCTTCATTTCAACCCTTTGGATTACCATGACCTGGATGACTGAGAACCTTCACCAGCACGTGTCTTACTAGAAATTATATTAAACTCAAATACCCACATAATTTATACAACTCTAAACCTGATTTTTTAAAATTGCACTGAATAAGTTAAAAAGCTGAAGCAGACAGAAATACCTTATTTTCCGGACTATAAGTTGCACTTTTTTTCATTGTCTGGCCGGTCCTACGACTTATACTCCGGAGCAACTTATATACCAAATTATGTAGGCTATACCGTGCTGCTGCGGGCCAGCTCCTGACCAGAAATGAGCTCCCCTGCCCCGCTGGGAATGAAAAACACACAGCCATCACCTGCTGGAGCCTGTGGCGCACCTTCACGCACCTGATCGACCCAGGAGTGAGCTCCCCTGACCCGCAGGGAACTAAAAACACACAGCCATCACCTGCTGGAGACTGTGGCGCGCAACTGCGGGTTGGATCCGACCCAGGTTTCAGCTCACCTGCCCCGCAGGTAATTAAAAGCACACAGCCATCACCTGCCGGAGCCTGTTGCACGCCGTTGTGCACTGGATCCGGCCCAGGTTTCAGCTTCTCTGCCCCGCCATCACCTGCTGCAGCCTGTGGCGCGCTGCTGCGGGCCGGCTCCGACCCTGGAATGAGCTCCCCTGTCCTGCTGGGAGGGTTTTAAACACCGCCATCCTCTGCTGGAGACCGTGGCGCACTGCTGCGCCCGCGTTGTTTATTCGGTTATTGTTACCGGTACTTGTCTGGCAGTGTGAAATGCTTGGTCTCAGATTTTGTAAGAAAAATAATAAATTTCCCCCCCAAAATGCGACTTATATACGTTTTTTTCTTCTTCATTATACATTTTATGGCTGGTTTTATGGCTTATACTCCGGAGTGACTTATGGTCCGGAAAATACGGTAGGCCTGTTTAACTCACTAAAACAGGCTGCAAATAATAAGCTAACTGCAGTTAAACTACGACCAGCTGGCTAACATGATAAATTAACTAAAACTGGCTACAAGAAAAATCACTGTAGACGTATTTTGGTTTGAGGCAGTGAGCTAATGCTTCACAATGCCAAAATGTTGTAATTTCCTTAACTTACTGGAGTAAAAATGCTCAAAAACACAGAAAATGAACAACTTTCAATGGTGGAACTATCGGTGTTTGGAACTAACCAAAGCTCCATGGCCGACGTTTCTTCTGCATTCAATTCTTCCTATTGAAGCCTATGGAAGTGTCTTAACTCTGTATCTCAAAGGTTCTGGGTTAGACCTGTTCCCTGCTCTAAATCATTCAAACTTGTTGACGTTTCACATGACAATGCATTCAAATACTCGAGGAAAGCTTCCAATTTTAAGATGTTTCCACTCAACTAAGTCACAGACTACACCTAAATAATGTGTGTGTATGTATGCTGAAACATTTGTTAAACGTTTGGTTGAACTTAAGTTTCTAGTGTGTTGCTCCTACAGTGAGTTATGTCTCACTACTCAGGTGTGCGCTGACCAGTGTTGCCAGATCCAAAATCCCACAATAAGCCTGTTGCAGGGTTTGGTCTTTGTTAGGTTAACTTTTGAGAAGACTCGCTCGCATGAAGCATTGGAATGGGGAAAAATCAGTACATCCAAGGCAAAAGTAGCAAGATCTGCAAATAACCGTTTCCCGCTCATGTCTTTCATGGTGGATAAGTTGTACCAGAATGCATCCACGTCCATACTTTTGTAACTGTCACTGAGGTTCATGATAGCCAGCTGTCTCCACTGCTCATCGATGAGCTGGATGCGGTCAGTGACCTTGATGTCCAGTAAGCGAGGCACAGTGCACAGTATGGGAAACAGAGAAGGGTAAATGGTGCGCACTTGTGGGTCCATCGCCACAGCAGAAGAAAAACAGTCCAGAGCACACAGCAGAGGGTGGTCAAAGTCAAAGAGTTTTTTAATTTCTGAACAACGAACTTGCAGAAATCTCTGGCAACGCACGAAAAAGTCTGTAACAATTGCAGGGTTAATGCGTGTGTTTTGGAGCTGCTGCATTACCCTTACGCCCAAGTGCAGTGTGTTAACTGGCAGATATTTGGAGATGTCTGTTGGATCAATCTGGCTCAGTTTTGTGTGGAGAATGTAGTTTCTATCCATAAAAGATTAGGAGATCTTTGTAAGTCTCGCTCTTTTTCTTGTGCAGAGATGTGATGTCAACTTTCTCACTCTGGAAATACTTGTTCAGGTTTGTAAATTTTGGCAAAACCCATTTCAAAAAGCGAAAGTATAGTCTAAGTGAATGATCATGGAGAGCCCTGTAGACATTTTCTGCAGCATTTAAACGTTCCGCCACCCACTGATCGGTAAAAAAGAGCCGAAGCGCACTCCACTGCGTGTTGATGCGCTTTACAACCGGATACAGAGAAAGCCAACCGGTCTGTGCTGGCTTCAGGATTTTGTGAGCCTCGACGCTACAAAACTCCTGGAACTCCTTCAGTTGTGCCTGGCGTTTTGTGCTGTTTTTTGAAATAGGAATATACATCCCTTGCTAAATCTTCACATTGTCGTGGTAGCTGCTTACATGATTCACTTGCGCACAAATGCAAGGAATGACAAATGCAACGTTGCACTGTGATCCCAGGAAGATCATGCTTGAAGCGGCTGGAGACGGAATTGTGTTGTCCCATCATGGTGTTACACCCGCCCGATGCAAAGCCCACAATGTTCTCTAGAGGAACATTTGCAGATGTAAATGACTCCAACATTTTTGTGTAAAGAAGCTCAGCAGTTGCGCCGTTGTAACTTGCCTGCGGCTGATCATCTGAAAAGATCTGAGCTAATTTCTTAAAGCGTGTCTGCACTGATTTGGAGCTGTCATCAAAGAAACGGACCACAATGCAAAGAGTTTTAACTGTACCAATGTCCGTAGACTCATCTGGATGCTGAACTTTTTACGTTGTAATATTTCAGAAAGTTCTTCAATGTAGCATTGTCCAATAACATTCTTTGCAATGTGTGTGGCTTTTGTGCATCCCAAACTAACAGCTTGAGCAATTGTTGAATCACTGAAAATGCCTTTAATCACCTGTACTAAGTGGTCTGTGCTTCTCATAGCAATGTTGTGCTCAGCTAAAAAGCCAGATAGCTTGATTTGAGCATTTTTCACATCATTTTCAAACTTCTCTTTTTCATTAGTTTGCTGGAGACATTCAAGTATAGATGTCTTGTTTGGTGCGATGCATTTTACCCTTCCTTTGTGTTTAGCTCCCTTTGCGTGATTCTAGAGAACGATGATTTCTGACACCATCTGGATGTTGCAGCAACGACAGAAGGCCTTGGTTTCGGTCCCTGTAACAGGTGCAAGCCATCCTTTGAAAATAGGGTCCAACTCCCACGCAGGACGATAAACTTGTGTCCGGTGTTGCTTTGTTTTACCTTCATCCGTCCCTTCTCTGTTTTTTCTTTTAAGATTAGTAGCCATTGTCTTGTCGCTCTGTCCTCCTGGCTTAAACTTAGCTCAGTGGCACTCGTGGGCAAAATCTGACTTCAGAACAGTTTAAAATTATGTAAATGACATGGGAAAGCCACAGCAAAAGACGGTGTTACTCGATGCAATGTGAAATTATCGTACATTTAAGGATTTTTGAAACTATTGATCGTACATCGTACAGAGCCCAAAAGTATGGTACAAATACGATAATTATCGTACGTCTGGCAACACTGGCCCTGAAAAACAAACCTTTGTTCCTCCTCCAGCTTTTATCTTTTACCCGTGTACCCCAACAGAAACCCCGACCCTCTTCGTTTTGAAATCAGAGCGGATTCCTCCTCAAAATGGGATACAACCAACAGCAGCTTTCTCACCTTTAACCTCACTTATTCTGTAAGACATCAAGCATTTTACTTAGTTTCATTTCATTACTGTCTAACTTTTCTTCACTAAATTAGTAAAAACTTTTACTTTGCTCATAGATTCAGAACCTGGGCACATTCTCAGTGGCTGACATCCTTTTCCAGGCTGATTTATGGGCTGTGACCAGGAAGGGGAACCAGATGGTGGACTTCACAGATTACAGGATTGAAGAGGTAAAGTTTAGACACAAAAACACCAGTTTAAAGGGGAACTGTGTCTGTTGGTGACTGTGAGGCGTGGAGCTTGATGCATATTCATGTCTTGGTTGGTTTTTGTGATTGGAGTCATCTTAAATATGTTAAACCGTCAATCCTCAGCTGGTACCTGTGTCCCACTGTGTGCTCCCTCAACCCGAAACAACCCGCCTTACAACACCTGAGGACCTGTCACACCTGCCGCAGCTAGTAAGACTAAATGATCTTTATTCCATTTTAAGCCGGAACAACCCTCATTCAGATTTTAATAAAAACAATAAGTATTTCTTATTTGTTGTGTGTTTTGCACAAATAAACTAATAACTAAGTGAATGTGTCCAGAACTCCAGTAACAGCGAGAGCCTTCAAGTTCACTGCAGGCTCAGCTTGTCGGCCTCCAGAAGTCTAAAGCTCACACTCACCGGGAGACTCCAGCTTCCAGTTCTGAATGCTGTAAGTCTTGCCAAGATGGATTAGAACTTTTGGGCCATTTGGTCCCTTCAGGAGTTCTGGTTCCTTTATAGACTTGGACAAGACAAAATGAGTTGTTTATTGAGACACAGTGGTGCTAACCTTCATGCACATGCAAACAAACTTCTTAAGCAGAAGATAAAAATAAGAATAAATTGAACAAAGGACAGAAAGAAAAGCCAAACCACAGGGAGTCAGCTTGGCTTCTCTGGCGCTCGGTGGTCACTCACTGAATGTTGGATTGGGCCCTTGGGTTGAGAGTGAAGAGCAAGAACAGTCTTGTGTCTGCTTAACAACCACGTTTCCCTCAGGTGAACTTCAAGTCTCTGGAACTGCTGAGTTCTGCCTTCATCCAAATGGATACATCTGGGCCCATGTTTCTCCTGGAAGACAGACTGGCTAGACAGGTACATCTACCACTGACAAGCTATCACTACCAAATATCACTTCATGTCTGACTGACTTAACTAAAGGAACATCTGCCTGAAGATTAAACTGTCTGAGATTACTACTGAATAAACCCAAAGATAAAGGAAGATGATTATGACAGTGGGATTGTCAGGCATACACTATAAAACTCAAACAACTGAAAATCAGAAACATGTAATTAAGTATAAGTAAAAGTATAAGATAACTGTTTAAGAAGATTACAAAAATTATCAAACCTTTTCAGAAAGGAGGCTCATTACCGATATCTAATATACGAATATTGTCTAACTCTTAATTTCCGTTACCAAAATATGTGGGGTTCCCCGCTAATAAAAACAAACAAAAACAAAAATGTGTAGGTTGCTAATATGCTAAGTAGGGATGCACCAAACATTTGGCAGCACAAACTTGGAAATTCGGCCACCGAAACACCAAAATCACCAAAAGAACAAGGCCAAAACAGGTTGTCAGGTGAACCATTTCAGTTATTTGAAATGTTGTTTTTCAAAATGTATTTTAAAATTTATTTTTTAGTTTAATTCACCTGTTGCTGTGTTCACAAAAAGCTATGGAGATAAAAACTTTTTTAAATGGTGAGCAGCAGAAACATATGTATTTTTTATTCAGATTATTTCTTTACTCATTAATTATATTATTTTTATTTTGTTTTACAATTATGTGTTGAATAAATAAGATCGATTTATGGTTTGAGTGAACATTAATATTATTATACAGCTCAGTGGCCTAGTGGTAGAGTGTCCGCCCTGAGACTGGGAGATCAGGGTTCAATTCCTGGTCGGGTCATACCAAAGACTTAGAAACAAATGGGACCCAATGCCTCCCTGCTTGACACTCAGCAATAAGGGGTTGGATTGGGGGGTTAAACCACCAAATGGTTCCTGAGCGTAGCTGTGTCTGCAGCTCACCGCTCCCCGAGGGGATGAGTCAAATGCGGAGAACTAATTTCGCACACACATCAGTGTGTGTGACAACTAATGGGACTTTAATTTTAATAATTTATTAATTTTGGGTTTTGCTGGGTGGGGCAGCATTTTTTTAGGGGTGGCCCTGGCCACCCCTTTGGGGGCACCATTGTCCTGATGGGGGTCAGTTTTCAAATTCTATAAACTCAGAAAATTTTAAAAGAGTTGCTCAGATTTAAGTTACACATCTCCACCATCTTGTGGTATGAAGTAATAACTTCATGAGGGATTATATTTCACCATTGCATTTTCTTTAACTTGTCAGTTTCTGCGTCCCCACCTCCTGCTCGCCGTATGGTTAGTTCTCGTTTTCTTAATGAGAGCACAGCCAGAGTAAATCTGTAAGGCTTGTTACCAGCATTCAGACATCAATTCTGTTTGCTTCACAGCCAGACAAGTCACGGTAAAAAAAAACAAAAGAAATGAGAGCACAGCTAGCAATTTTTCTGCTGCTTTTGATCCACCCTGTTCTTCTGATAAAGACCCAGATTCCTTAACTTCTCAGTTCAACGAGCACTGCCTCTCCATTCTGGACAACATCTGTCCTGTTAGAACCAGATCAGTTCCTGCAGTGAACCCTACTCCCTGGTTTAATGACAGCCTTTGCAGCCTGAAGCGCCAATGAAGGAAAATTGAGCATTTGTGGAAGAAAACCCATCTCCACGTCCATCTGCTGCACCTAAAGGATCTTCTGAAATCCTTTAACTCTGCAGTCAGAGACACTAGGGTTTCCTATTTCTCCAACCTGGTGTCCCAGAGCAAAGGGAACCCCAAGGTGCTGTTTAACACCATCAGCAGCATCGTGTCTCCTGCCACTCCTACAGCCTCCATCTACTCTGTTGCAGACTGTGAGAACTTTCTGTCTTTCTTTGTGGACAAAGTCAATAAGGTTAGATCTAGCATCTCTCCTTCAGCCTTATCGCTGCCTCTCCCGACTCCAACCAGGCCCATCATCCTAGATAGCTTTGCTCCTGTTTCTTTGCCTGAGTTAACCAAACTAGTTAACTCTATGAAGACCTCTGCATGCCCCCTCGACATCTTACCCTCATCTTTGTTTAAAAGTGCTTTTCAGTCCATCGGTCCCAGCGTGCTCTCTATAATTAATGCTTCTCTGGTCTCTGGTCAGGTCCCTGCTTACTTTAAGAACGCTGTAATCCACCCACTTCTTAAAAAAACGAGTCTTGATGTTTCTCTCCATAGCAGCTTCAGACCCATCTCTAAACTTCCGTTCATCTCCAAGATCTTGGAAAAGGTTGTGGCTAAACAACTCACAGCTGCTCTTGATGAACATAACATCTATGATAGCTTCCAGTCAGGTGTTTGTAGAGCTCATTCTACTGAAACAGCTCTTTTTAGGGCCTCTAATGACCTTCTGACTCTCAGTGATGCAGGGGAATGTTCTGTTCTGGTCCTGCTGGACCTGACTGCAGCCTTTGACACTGATGACCATCACCTGCTACTGGAGAGGCTCAGAGACTGGGTAGGCCTATCAGGATCTGCTCTAGAGTGGTTCTCCTCTTATCTCTTTGAGTGTTCCTTTTCTGTGGCCGTCTCCAAGTTTAGGTCCTCCACCACCTCACTTACCCATGGTGTCCCACAAGGTTTTGTGCTGGGGTCTCTGCACTTCCTCCTCTATCTGCTTCCTCTTCAGCACATCCTGAGCTCCTTCAAAGGAATCTCCTACCATCTTTAAACAGATGACGTCCAACTGTACATCTCCTTTAAGCCCCATGAGATGTCTAAGCTGCAGCTGTTACACACCTGCTTAGACTCTATCAAAACCTGGATGGCTGGGAGCTTTCTACAGCTGGATGAAGATAAGACTGAGATCCTCATCTGTGCCCCAGACAAGCTGGTTCCCAAAGTCAGAGACTCTCTTGGTCAGCTTGCTTCCCACACCAAACCTTCTGTCAGGAATCTTGGCGTGACCTTTGACCCAGCTCTCACCCTGGATTCTCATGTCAGTTCTCTTGTTCGCTCTTCCTTCTTCCATCTCAGGAACATTGCTAAGCTGAGTCCCATTCTGTCCCACTCTGAACTTGAGACAGTTCTCCACACCTTCATCTCCTCACGCTTAGACTACTGTAACTCTCTTTTCACGTGTCTGAGTAGAACCTCCCTGAACCGTCTACAGGTGGTTCAGAATGCCTGTGCTCGGCTTCTGACCAAGTCCTCCAAACACACCCACATCACCCCGCTTCTCCTCCAGTTTCACTGGCTGCCAGTCAACTTCAGGGTTCATTTCAAGATCCTGGTTCTGGTCTATAGGGCCTTACATGGACAAGCACCATCTTACATTGGTGATCTTCTTAGTCCCTACACCCCCAGCAGGTCCCTGAGGTCCAGTGATCAAAGCCTACTGGTTGTGCAGCACCAGGCTAAAGGTCAAAGGTGACAGATCATCTGCTGCTGTGGCCCCCAGACTCTGGAACTCTCTCCCCCTGAGCCTGAGATCAGTGGACTCAGTGGTCTCCTTTAAAAAGCAGCTGAAGACTCACTTGTTCAAGCTGGCTTTTGTGTGACCTTCTTCACCACTCTCTTATTCTGCTCTCCCCACCTATTCCACCTTCCTCAGGATCCACTGATTTCCCTCTTTCCTATTCACTCTCTCTCTTTCTTAACATTTTTTTATCACAATTGTCTATTTTTGCTCATTTTGAATATATTTTAAAACATTTTCTAAATGCTTTTTTATATTTTTACATTTTTTGTTTTTGTGAAGCGCCTCGTGATTTTTATCTTGAGAGGTGCTATAGAAATGATATTTTCTTCTTCTTCTATATTTGTAGCTGTGGCTCGTTTAACGCAATATTGTGACTTTGATGCTTAAAGGGTACATTTTACAGTCCTAATGCTATGGTTCTGATTATTGACATCATTTTTTTCGGTGTTGGTTTTCGACCTTGGTTTCCTCATTTTCGGTTTTCAGTTTCGACCAAGAATTTTCAGTTTGACGTATCCCTAATGCCAACATCTCCAATCATGCAAGCATAAGTTTTAAAAGAGACAATGTGCCATTTTTATGATTAATCTCTGAAAATGTCTATTGAAATGTTGTTGAAAATTATGTAAATGATGCAGAGTTGTTGAAAAACATTGGCAGCTTCGTAACATGTAACCAATAAAAATCGGGTCTAAGACTCTGGGCAATGCAATGTTAGAAGCCATGTTTCCTTTTACGGGAGCCCGGGAGTACAAAACGCATTTACAGATTTGTAACAAATAGTTACAAAACATTTGTCATTCATAAACGTTGAAGTTTTACACATTTACCTCTTCAGTCGTTGCAAGTGATGGAAGGGTGTCTGATGTGCTTTTCACTTAGTTGGAGGTTGCATTCCCAGGGATTTTAGACCTTAATGGTAACCTGTTGGTAACGTCCAAATCAAACACAAAAATACAACTTCAGGTGTTGCTTGCTTGCAATGGTTTAGGTAGGTACTGCACCATGTCACTAGGGAAAACACATCATCACTTTAAACATTATCTGTGCAAAATGACAACCACTTCAATTTATATAATAATAATAATACATTGAACTTATATAGTGCTTTTTCAGACACTCAAAGACGCTTTCATACATTCTCACATTCACACACTGCCAGTGATGGTAAGCTACTTTGTAGCCACAGCCGCCCTGATTCGGTCTAAAAGAGGCGAGGCTGTCATTTGGCGTTGTCGGCCCCTCTGACCACCATAACACAGGCAAGTTGGGTGAAGTGTCTTGCCCAAGGACACAACAGCAGAATACCTCTGGCGGGAGCTAGAATTGACGCCGTGACCCTCCGAACATGAGGTAACCCGCTCTACCTCCTGCTACTGCCAGCTATGCTGATCAAACTCTGACATCGGTCATATAGGGAGCTAACAGTCCGTATCAGAGGGCCTGGTACACCACACTCCCAGAGTGTCTTCCCACAGGCTAACACATGTAGATTGGTTGTGCAAACTCCCACACACCCTCCAGGAACCCCCCAAGGGTATAGAGCTGATCG